GAAACCACTTCTCGTAAACACTCACCCAGCCTTTTACCTCCCAGTCCACCCGTTAGTACAACCGTGGCGCCCTAATCTCGATCGAATCCGAAATGTGATACATTGTCAAGATCCGCCACACGTCGCTATCCTTAAGCACGAGCGGATAATCTCTACTCAAAATCCCACTGCCCTGTTGACTTGGCTCAACCTTAGAGCCATTACTGGACGAGGATGGACTACTAACTCCTTCGGAGTCTTCTTCACTTCCCCCATGCCTGCCCGAACCACTCGGATTAGCAGCACTCATCCCTGAGGCAGCTACATTCATGCCGGTCGGTATACCCATTGGAACGCCCCCCTCGGGCATCATCACCATGGTTGGGGCACGTTCGTACTCATTCCCAACATCTGCCCTAGCCCCACTCGAACTACCCGACTATGAATCTGACATTTCAACCTATTCACCATAAACCCTAAATCACTGTTCGACCCTCACCACCGATTGAGCTACACTCCAACAACACTTCTTTACGACTGCTCATCCTTTAACGCCAATCGACCTATCCCCGTTAACACAACTTGCCCTACTCTCCTAACTACCCAATTCCTAAGTACTTGATCACCATTCACCTTGCACTAACCGGACAATCTTACAACACCAGCTAAGTTTCTTAACCCAGTTCACCGGTCGACCCTTACTACCGACCGGACAATCTTTCAACACCAGATAAGTTTCTTAACCAAGTTCACTGATCGACCCTCAGTACCGACTGGACAATCCTCCAACACCAGCAACTTCACTGATCGACCCTCACAACCAGTTGACCTAGTCCCCAGAAACAGCAACTGGTCTATCCCGTTTGCCCGGAGTGACCGACCTGGGTTTAAAACCCGAACGCCTTTTCAATGATTTCACTCGCCCTGGGTCACCGCCAAGGGACTTCCGTACAACCTCCCGCTCGATCTGGATGACCGATCCCTTGTTCTACTTAACTCACCGCACGATCCCCTTACTACTCGGTCGGGTAGACCGGGTGACCTACTTATCCCACTTAAAGCTATTTCCTTTCAACCCTGATCCAACCTTGTCACTCGATATAGTCAAGCAGACTGACCGATCCGAATCAAGATATTGTGTAACCCGTTTTCGTATTCTCAACCCCATCCAAAAACCCAAAAATACCGAAAATTAGGCAAATCGTCGGAAACTCACCAGAAATCTAAGTATTCACACCTATTCTAAAAATCAAAACTCCAAAACCCAAACGAAGTCCCTCAAAACTTCACAAAATCACACCCAGCCTCCTAAAAACTCAGTACAAACGAAGGAAAAAGGCAAAACAAACCAAAAATCAGCGCAAGAAGATAATATTTACCGTGAATGACTTCGGAATCTACAAAAAGGGAACCACTGTCGCTAAAAGAAACTAGAAACGAAGAAAGTAGGAAAGAAAAGGAAAAAACGCAGAAAAATGAAGGAAAAGGAAAAAACGCAGAAAAATGAAGGAAAAATATGAAAACGCGAAAATAGGAGACGAACAGCCCGCTCCCTCGTTTTTATGGGAAAAATCTGACAGAGACAGACAAGTGGCAACCCTCAATTAGCCCAAGGATAGAGAGACTTTTCATTTTCCCGCCCCAAAACGAAGAGCAGATCACCACCGTACACTTGGCAGAGATCCACGCCACCTAAGAGACCGCAACACTATACAGAATACACGTTTAATCGCCCTTCCTACCTGACCGAGCCACCATGTTGCAGCATGCCAGCTCCTGCAACGAAGCCGACACACTTCCTTGCTTCACATGTCCAGGAGATCCTCCCAGTCGGGGCGACTAGCCTGGAACAGTCCACCCTATCTTCTGCCTTGAGACGAGCAAGGAAAGAGAGGTCCCAGCTATTCGGTCTTCCATAGCAGACGAGTGGACACTAAGGGTTAACCTTCACACAACCCTTGCCTTGGATTAGACCGCTCAGCCCGAGCCTCCACACGAACATCGGGCCCACTGTAACCCATTCGGCCCAAGGGCACCTGGTAAGGACAACCTCGAGGTATCACTCGAGCATCTTCCATGCGATTAAGCAAGTCAGTCGAGTCAATGTCATCTCCTCATTTGGCCCTACACATCGAACGAACGCACCTTCAGTTGGTAGACTTGTTTTCTAACTCGACCTAGCATGCCAATCGAAGAAACTTGTGATAGATAGCTTCTCCATTTCTTCACTCGGCCGGACACACCGAGCAGATACATGTACACCAGATGTTTCGATTTGAACTCAGTTCGCTCGACCCCGCACACCGATCGGCTACACCCTCTTGAGCTGGTTGCACAATCTGACTTGGCCAAAGACACCTACTGACTCTTGAACACGTTATCTACATCTGACCGATCAGTTGCGCCAGCAATCGGTCATCCGAGAAAGGCGACTGGATACGCCCTATTTGATTCCTACTCTTTGACTTAAGCAAACCTTAACTCAGAGAATGGGGAGCAAACTGTTAGGGCCAAAAAATGTCCTCGGCCCAAATAGGATAACGCGTCTGACAATGAAGAAAAGCCCATGCCCAATCCTGGTGTGGCCCAAGCCGGAACTCCCTGGATAAGGCCCATTTGATACGGGGTACAATCGGTCTGAACCACTTGGACACAAGCCTCCTAATCCCAATACACTTCCTGGACTTATGATCGAATTCAGAGCCCATGGTCACCTACGGATCACATTCCTACTCGAACACTAATAAAGCAGTCCATTACCATCCCAATTCCTCCAAGATCCGTGTCAGAGTCATACTTGGACTCCCTTTCACGCTAGGATAATGGGGCCAAAGGATATATCCCTAGAGGAAACAGATTACTATGAGAACTCCTAATCCTACCAGGAGTGGGAGACCAGAGAGCCACTATTTAAACAGAGGCCAGCCCTCTCACAAGGCAGATTACATTACACCTTCGAACCCTGGAGTTCCAACTTGAGAACTTCACATCACAGCCGTAGTCAAAGTCCCCGACTGGACTTCTGGTAACCATTCTACTCCCTAACATTCACTAAATCAGCCTCTTTCAGCCTTGCTAACTTGAGAATCAGAGTGCCTATGGCAAACACCACCCTAGTGTTTTTCGTCGCTTCACGTTTGTTTCTCTACGTGTGCAGGTACAACAGATCGCTAGTGGCCTCAATCACACGAGATCAGTCCCTCTTTTCGTACAGGTAGATTTTTACGCCCACAATCTCTTAGTAAGGGAGAAAAGTATTAAAAGGATAATAATAAAAATTTTAGTATTGTACACCTTTAATCATTTAATTAATTAAAAACAAAGGTAAGAAAAATGTGTCAAACTTGTTGGGTGTAACTGCACTTACTCAAATTCATGAGAAGTCAAGTTATTAACTCAGGAAATTAAAGACAATTCCTATATTACATGTTTAAATTAATTAATATAGTTGACATTACCATTAAATTCATAATAATCACCTTTTTGTTTTACTATCCTATCATAACCTAATTCTATCATGCCTAAAATACATATTTATTTCAATATTTTTAAAATCCAATCATATTCTATTTAACTTAAGGGTGCGTTTGTTTTATTATTCGTTGTCCTATTCCCAATCTATTTCCCAAAATATATGTTTGTTTAATTATTTGGGAAATACTATACTATTTTTTAATTACTTTTAGACCCCTTAAGTTTATTAATTTAATTAAACACTCTTGGAAAAAAAAAGTTTAAAAAATAACAAAAACACCCCACCCACCCATAGTTGCCAAATTCCAGAAACCATCGTCGGCGATTGCCGGAATCTGTTACAACGACGTAGGAACGATCAGAATTGGCTGGTATTTCGCCAATCTGGCCTTTTCCGGTCAGATCCACAATGGATCTGGCCGAAAAATGTCAGATCTGACCGATAATGACGACCATATCTTTGGCCATCACTGACGGCCAAATCTGGCTTTTTTCGGAGGTCTACGGCCAGATCTAGCCGTAGATCTGGTTTTTTCCAGCATGATTCGTGGTGGATCTGGCCGGAAAAGGCCATATCGACGCATGACCCACCAGATCAGACCGATATGCGTCGTAACGCCATTTTTCGGCCAGATTCCGGCAGTGGTGGCCGGAATCTGGCACTATGTGTGGGTGGGGGTGTTTTTGTCATTTTATAAAATTTGTATATATTGGGGTGTTTAGTTAAATTAGCAAACCTATGAGGTTTTTTTGTTAATTTTTAAATTTTACCTCGCAATACTCACCCTATTCAACTACCCAATATTATTCCCAAAATCCTATCCAAAATAACAAAACAAACGCACCCCAAAATATTTATATTTTTAATTTTTAACTCCTTAGGTTTGTTGATTTAACTAAACACTCCCAACAATTAAAATTTATGAATTGACAAAAACACCTCTATCCACCCATTAAATGCTAGCAGTCGGCCACCACCATCGGAGGGTGGTCAAAATCTGCCGAAATGGAGCATAACTGGCTGGAATAGGCCAGATCAGCGCACGATCGGCCAGATCCAGCCGATCATGCATCATTCTGGTGACTTCCGACCATCCCCCAACTGTGATGATCGGCTGTCGGAATTTAATAGTAGGGGGGGTATTTTTTTTAATTTTTAATATTTTATTATAGGGGGTGTTTAGCTAAATTAACAAATATAAAGAGTGTTTTTGTTAATTTTCAAATCTTATACTCCTAATAATAACTCAATTCAACTTTTCAAAAATCTTCCTCAAAATACTCTACCAAACACCCAAATGTTGTAAAATTTAGACGAATATTCTGATATTTCTATCAATCTATGAAGCCATGAATTCAAGAAGAGAGACGATATCTTTTAAGGAAGATATTTTTTTTTTTTTAAATAAATAAATTTATAAAGAGAATATACAGAAATATATAAGTTGAAAGTTGTGGATACATGGAAGATTGACGAATTCCAAGTTCATAGCAAATTTTAACTGACAAAGAACATTTAACGGAAGAATCTATATCCTACATTATCACCATAAACGCATACCCACAAAAACGACTACTTTTTATGAGACTTTTGTCACAACAATTCTGTCTCTTTTACTTTAGATCTCTCTCCATACTTTCTCTTTCTATTTTCTCTCCATTTCAGGTATATTTCTATTCGTTTCAGATCTCACTGGTTTTTCACGTCAAAAACTGTTCTTTTTTTTACGTTACATGGTATTGTTTCATTGTCATTTGGGTATATGCATTGCAAATATATCGACTTCAAACAATGCCGACTTGTTTTTATCTCTTTTTTTTTTTTTTTTTGTTTTCTTGGGCGGGTTTGAATTCAAGTTATGACATTGTCAACTGGGTCTATTTTATCTCTGTCCAAAGCTTGCTTTTGTGGTATCGCCTTCGCATTATAGCTAGCAACTGTCGGTGCTGAAGCTTTACACTTTGGTTGTTTTCATTTTTTGACCTCTGTCTCTTTTAACATGGCCATTTTTGATACAATTTAGATTTTGTTTTCATATAGATATTCCCTTTTGTCTCTATTATCTCTTTTTTCCTTTTTCTTATCTCTTTGTTCGTTGCTTGTTGGAAGCACTAGTGTTTTTTAGATTCTAGTTGCACTCGGTTTGTTTTGTTAATGCTAAAAATCTTGATAGTGCCATAATCTTTGTCTCTTCCTGTCTCTTAGTTGTTGCATTATATATAATATAAACATGTAATAGTTGTTTAAACTTTTAAATTATTTTCTTGTTTGATCGCGCAATGGTGGTAACGTTCTTTCTCTTTTTCAATTATAAAATGTGTTTATTTCTGGTAAATTTGGGCACAGAGTTTAGTCATTTGATGATTTGATTAAGCTTGGTTGTTGTACTGGTGATTCTGGTTTCAGAGGTTTTTTCGGTGGAAACATTCTGTTAATTGACACTTCCGATTTTGGTTTATCTGAATTTTCGCAGCATTGTTAATCATCATCCAGCCATCACATGTGATGCGAGGGCTCTAAAAGGATCATAATTTGGTCAAACAAAATTTTGGAATAATTCGAACGGAAGCCAAATTTTGTTTTGGGTTTTTAATTCAATATTCAGCCACTCAGCTTGTGAAGTTTGATCTTTGTCTTCTACATGTTGCAGTCAAAGTAGGAGGCAGATTTCCTTTTGGTGCTTTGGGTTAACGATAATAATGAGGGGGAGATCTGATGAAAATCAAAAGAAGCGATTGGTCACCTGGGTAGTAGTTTTGGTGACCATTTGTTTTGTACTTTATATGTGTTCTCAAAACCATGGTTCTCCTGCTGTAGAGTATGGTAGCAAATCTTTGAGGAAATTTGGTTCCTCATATTGGGGTGGCGATGAAGATGCTGATGATTCTTCCACCAAATCAATTGAATATGTAGATGATGGTAATATACTAAAAAGTATTCCGGTGAGCAATCTGATGACAAGCTAACTTTTTTTAAAATCTTTAAAATCAGGTTCTTATTTTGGTTTCTTTGTGCATAAATTGAACTAACATAAGTCTTTGTTGTTGCATATCGAAGGTTTGTGACGAGCGGCATACAGAACTGATTCCTTGCCTAGACAAGAACTACATGTTTCAGTCAAGACTGAAACTGGATCTATCTGTGATGGAACATTACGAGAGACATTGCCCACCACCTGAGAGGCGCTTCAATTGCTTGATTCCTCCTCCACCAGGGTACAAGGTGAGATTTTGTTCAAGATTTTTAATTTTGATTTCTGGACATTCCTTTGTGTCAGTTACTAAAACAAGGAAATATAAAGTTAGTATTTTCCTGACCTTGATGGTTACAGATCCCAATCAAGTGGCCCAAGAGCAGAGATGAGGTATGGAAGGCAAATATACCTCATACACACCTCGCTACTGAAAAGTCTGACCAGAATTGGATGGTTGTCAAAGGTGAAAAGATATCATTTCCAGGGGGAGGAACTCACTTTCACTATGGAGCTGATAAGTATATTTATTCACTAGCGCGTGTAAGTCAAGTTGATTGACCCATTTTCAGAGGAAAAAACACATAGTGATCATTTCAATACATGACTCTCTTTTTCTTTTGTATGATGAGTAAGGCAGTGATCTTTTATTCATTTCCGAATTGACAGATGCTGAGATTTCCACACAACAAAATAAACAACAGGGGAAAAGTCCGGACAGTTTTGGATGTTGGCTGTGGAGTTGCAAGTTTCGGAGGATACCTACTTTCTTCTGATGTTTTAACAATGTCATTAGCCCCCAATGATGTCCATCAAAACCAAATCCAATTTGCCTTAGAGAGAGGAATTCCTGCTTATCTTGGTGTTTTAGGGACAAAGAGACTTCCTTACCCAAGTAGATCTTTTGAATTTTCACATTGTTCTCGTTGTAGGATTGATTGGCTTCAAAGGAATGGAATTCTTCTTCTTGAGCTAGATAGGGTACTCCGGCCAGGAGGCTATTTTGCCTACTCATCTCCAGAAGCCTATGCACAGGATGAAGAAGATCTAAGAATTTGGAAACAAATGAGCGCCTTTGTGGAAAAGATGTGTTGGAAAATAGCTGCGAAACAGGACCAAACTGTTATTTGGGTTAAACCTCTGACGAATGATTGTTACATGGAACGACCACCTGGTACTGAACCTCCACTATGCAGATCTAATGATGATGCAGATGCTTTTTGGGGTGTGCCAATGGAAGCTTGCATCACTCCTTACTCAGAACGTAAGTGATATTGTCCCCATTCTGCATGTACAAGATTGGAAGTTCAAAATGCAGTAATAAGTTCTTTTTCTTTTCATTAGAAATGCATCGAACAAGAGGCAGTGGATTGGTTCCTTGGCCTGCTCGCTTGACAACTCCTCCTCCTCGTCTGGCTGAAATTGGCTATTCTAAGCGAATGTTTGAAAAGGACATGGTAATGTATCAGCATTTTTCTATCACAATTTTCATAAATATTATAGGATGCAGGTGGGTGATATGATTCATGTGTTGCAGGAACTTTGGCAGCAAAGAGTGGGACATTATTGGAGTCTTTTGAGCTCAAAGATTAAGCCTAATACGCTAAGGAATATAATGGACATGAAGACACACATTGGTTCATTTGCAGCTGCTCTGAAGAACAAAGACGTTTGGGTTATGAATTTGGTGTCTGAAAATGGACCCAACACTCTCAAGATAATATATGACAGAGGCTTGATAGGCGCTCTGCATAACTGGTATGAATAAAAAATTAATTACTCATCCCATTTGACCATTCTTGATTTTTCCTCTGACCAAAGTAGGAAAAGAAAAAAGTTTTGCCGTGATTTATATCCTTTTTTTGGGTATGCAACTGACAGGTGTGAAGCATTCTCAACTTATCCAAGAACTTATGATCTGCTCCATGCTTGGACCGTCTTCTCTGATATTGAAAAAAAAGGCTGTAGTGCAGAGGATCTATTGATCGAGATGGACAGAATACTGCGGCCCCAGGGTTTCATCATTGTTCGTGATAAGCCACCGGTGGTGGAGTTAATAAAGAAATATCTACCGGCATTACACTGGGAAGAAGTAGCAACAGCCGATTCCAACCGGGAATTGGAACAATATGAAGATGACATAATCTTTATAATTCAAAAGAAGATGTGGTACACTAGTGAAAGTTTTAGTGATTCAGAGTGAGACGGTGAGCATCATTGTCTTCCCATATCTTACCTTATTCCAAATACAGCATTGCGGGGCTTGAAGTTGCCCAAACTGTGCTGGTGGTTATATAATTTTGCCAGAGGTGATGTTCCTTGGTCTTTTTGCTCATTACTCGGAAGTAAAATGCTTACCCACATTATTTTCATTATCTCAGTCAGGATTGTAAGATGATTACATTGATAAATCTCGTATAGGGAACTGTTAAGATTCTTTATATAAACAGGAAATAGTATTGTTATCCACTTTGTCAAAGCACTTAAGAGTTACTTGTTGAATTTCTTTAATATATCCGGATAAAACATAGCGACATGGATGTTCTAACAAAGGAAATCGAATAAATATAAAAGAAAATAATCACATCCCATCCTCCTCCAAGTAGGAAAAGAAAACATACTAGGGCAATCTAGCTTCAGCCACTCCAATTTTCAAGGTCCTTTTTTTAAACAAAAAGAACATCAAGGAGCTAACTACTTCTAGATAGTTGGGTAATCCGATAGGGACTCTTAAATATATTATTTAAGGGGTTCTGAGTTCGAATCCCTTCTCGGTTGCTAATAGGGGTATTCATTGAAGCTCTTACTCGGTCGATAGTTCTAGGGTATCGAGAGATTAGTTAAGATGCGCATAAACTAGCATTCAAACACCCTCAATCATTAAAAAAAATAAAAAAATCAAGGAGCAGAAGAACATCATCTCATAGCATATTAGCATCATTTCGTTTTAATACAATAGTATTGAAGTTGCTAAGTTTGTGTTGGTAGATCATGAAACGGACCTCTCAAAAGTTGAATATTTTACACCTACTCTTTATCTCATGGATACATTCCCTGTAATTTCATATCACAATTAACGTTTACTTAATGCAGCACAAATGTCTTGAATCAGAAATTAAATGGCCAACTAATATTATAGGTAAAACAATAAAAATTAGGTCACAATCCAATCTTACAGACTCTCTCTTATAACCCGATGTGATAGCAAAAAAATTCATCAAAAATCTATTACAAACTATCAAGTCAGGACTGTGAAACAAAATTTGTAAGATTATGTTGTAATTGTAGTGTCACTTTATCAAAAACGACCATTTACCGATAGATTGAAATTTTTTCGACGTTATCAACTTATCATAACTTTGTCATCATTGTTTTAAAACCCGACCCGACCCAGTCGGTTCAACCGGTACCCAGCTGGTGAGGCTCAAAACCGTTTATATCAGTCTACCCACTTACACTCATGGTTGGACCGATGCACTGTAGCACCTGCTGGTCCAACCATTATTTTTAAAAAATTTGGGTCGGCTAATTTATAAAATTAAAAATTTAAATTAAACTCTAAAACAGTAAAACCCATACATTATAATTATATAAAATTATAAATTGAACAATAAAACCACCCTATCCCAAAGCAAATATCAACATTCCGCGTGCCCCGCCTGGGGCCGCCACCCCCCCCCCCCCCCCCCCCCCCCCCCCCCCCCCCCCCCCCCCCCCCCCCCAAATTTCAAGACATTTCCCACACTTTTGGTCTCAAAGTCTGAAATTGAAATCTTCCACCGAAGTCTCCCCTTCATTGTCGAATCTCGTCGCTTCAACCTTCACCGTCAACTGCTTACTTCGTCGTCAGCTGGGGTACCGTGAATCTCCTCTCATTTCACGATCTTCTTTGTCCTCTAACACTCTTCTTCACCGCCGATCTATGTTGTTCATCCGTCGTCGTCAATCTTCTCGAAGCTACACAGTCGATCTTGTCTTCTTCTTGCCCAGGAATTATCGCCTCTTCCCCTCACATTACTTGAATCTTAGCTCTTCATAGTTGCACTGTTCACAGTTGAGCTCCACCTCTCCGATAGTCAACTCAACTGTCAACGGAAGCTCATCTTCACCAGCACCAGGTAATTGTCACGGTGTCACCTTACTGATGTACATTCCACTATTCCAGCAGCAAATCTTTAATTTTGCTTTGGTGAATCATGAATGAACACTTGATTTGAGTTGCTAATTTTGTTTTGGTGAATGAACACTTGATTTGAGCATTGAAGAATGAAGATATTAGACTTATTAATATATGACCTGAAGACTGAACAAGGAGGTCGTAAGAGTTAAGACAAACCATTGGGTGAAAATTATTTTTTGTTAGAATATTGAAGTGTTGAAAGAAGTCAAAAACTTTTATATTATGTGATTTCTTCTTTTATTTTGTTATTTTGATTTGTAATTTGTTGTATTATTGATGTAATAATGTTTGATGATGTTTTGCTAAGGTCTTTTTATTCAGAAGTCTATGATTTGGATTCACATTCTGCAATTTTGCATTCTGTAAACAGTAACATTACTGACATCAACATGATAACATCACTAGTTGAACCAGCTGGTTCAACCGGTCAACCCGAGACCCAACAGCTTGCCAGGTTTTGTCCCGAGTCGATTTTTAAAACATTGTTTGTCATTGAATAAACGAGTTAATCTCCCTGAAGTTTCGTTTAATAAACTTTTATCTTAAAGTAACTAAAATAATAATTTACTTTTTGTCATTGTTCCACTAAAATTTCATTTGCCACAACCAACCCTTATTGTGAGAGGAGAGACACTGTGTATAAGTGAGAGGTGAGAGGATTGTTGGAGACTGTAGATGCCCATCCCATCTAAAACTTTTTTGTTGGTCCATATAGTGCAGGCGCAACCAGGAAACACGAATTTAATACTCGGAAAATTTGACAGAGCAAACTATGGCAACTTAACTCCAAGAGAAGAAGATGCTGGTTTTCTAGTTGCTACCATACAATCTTCAAAAATGTGAAAAAGCATTAGCAGCAGAAATGAGAGATGGGAGTAAATAAACTTTCTTTCCAGTTTTTCATCGTGGATGTCGGCTGTGTGCACTAAAATTCTCAATAGGTTAATATAATTTACTAAATAAGAGTCCTACAAAACTTGACCATGATGTCCATTGCACCTCTTTTGAAAGAGAAATTTCCCCTCATTTTTGTCTTGAGTCGCTATTGAAAAGGAACTTTGTTCATTTTGTTCAAGCAGATTTCACTTTGGCTGAAGCTGAAGCCAGGTGTGAAAGGATCCTGTGACCAACGAACATTAAGTAAACCCCCAAGAAACCAAGTGCCTTCAATGTTGTGAATAGATCCAACTGCAGAAAAAAAAATCACCATATTGTTACACCAGCACATAACATAGAGTAATAAACAACCAAAAGTGTAATACTTTGACATAGTTAAAGTTCTCATCTGTTTTAAGGCATATGCAATTAAAATTCTATATTTCAAATCAAGGTGCAGCCATCCAAACAATGGCTGACTGACCAATACACACTAACTGAAAAAAAAATAATAATAATAAAATATAAAAACCAACCTTCAACCAGAAAAGAACATAGAGTAACAGCACTGCTGCAATGCCAAGCTGGAAGAGGATGGCAAATGTAGCAGGCACAGGTGAAGCAGGGAAGTTCTTCAGGTTCACCCCTAATCGTAATAGCTGTCCAAGAAATCAAAGTATAACACAAATATCACTTGCTGCCCAGGAAAAGACAATTGGGAAAGCTGAATGAAAATTCAGAGGGAAATAAATTATTCATGACTCACCCCAATTAAGAATCCAATAAATGGCAAAAGAGTAAGACCCAAGAAAGCAAGGGAAAGCTTCTGAGGTGGACGCTTTTCTGGTGCCCTGAAAATGTGGGTTATCTCTGCTTTCGGCCCATATCTTGAATAGGGATCAACAGGCAGTGCTGGAGGACCGGATGCCTTCTCAGGGGGTTCTGGCAGATCTAATTCAATATAGCCAATATCTTGTAATAAAGAGTTCTCCTGTAAAGAGGCACAACATATTTAGCTCAAAATGTGGGTACACAAAAAGAAAAAAAAAAATTAAAAAAACAAACCCATGCTTACCATGACAGCATCACCAACAGTGAGTTGAATCTCGTATCTACCTGAGAGATAGAAAAACTTCTCAACCAGTCCTAGAAAATCCTGCAATCCAAATTGCCATATATATGATCAACATAAAATCTTATTTTTTTTCCAAATGATGGCCAGTTAACAACAAAACTTTGTCATTGATTTTGAAAGTCAGGCTAACAAACATTGGCACCCATTAATAACTGACTGACAGAAGATAAAGTTAATAAAAAAGGTGAGGAAAAATAAAAAAAAAGAAATGGTACTTAACTAGAATTATCTGAAATTTTTTCCCAGAGTTCCCCACCACAAAGATGTGCTCAACCTTGCTCTCATGTCTCAGCTTGAGAAATGCCTGCACACCAACAGAATATCTCAAACAACTACTGTCAATAAATTCGTACAGAGGTGTTTAAACTACTTACCTGATGTGGCTTAAAAGCATTCCCATAAGGGGTGGTCAATTCAAAGGATAGACGGAGCTTCTGCAGGTGGTTTGCCGATAATGACACAGCATTTTCTCCACCCAAATGTAGCCTATATAAATCATGGGTGTGAAAATAAAAATCCAAATTATATGGTTGAAGTTTAATTAAAGCAAGAAAAAATTAAATTGGAATGACTTCTAAAAGTATCACATCCCCATATTAAAAAGCATCTAAAATACCATCATCAGTAATAGGTAGGAAGAAAAATTATAGCCAAAATCTGAAAACTTAACAACGTACTTTTTTTGTGTTTCTACGCTCCCATGATCACTATCAAGAACTGCAATTTCAGCATTGTCGATCTTAATAAGTCCTGTCACAAATATTGGTATTTGAGTTTCGGCTCCAGTAGCATAGACACTTTGCTGCTCAGAATCATGAAGCACCACCTACAAAATTCAAAATTGGTATCAAACTACGTACAGAAATATAGATATGAGGTAAGATAATTGATCCCTCTCTGGAAACGGTAAGCAACTGATAATAATAATAATAATAGTAATAATAATAATACCTTAAAAATAAAAATATAATTTCCAACATCAACAGGCTTTGGCACGGAATCTAAGAAATAAGATTCACTCTGTGGATCATACTTGAGTTCCTACATTACACAAACGATAAAGAACATAGATTCAAGTTAGAAAAAAAAAGAAAAAGTAAATTGCACCAAATAGAGGTTAAAACAAGGAAATTTTCAGCACCTTGTTCTCAACAATGGTAGTTTCCTTTAGCCCAGAGGAAAATGCCCGCACAAGTTTCACTGTTAGAGGAGGAGCATTTGCACCAAGCACAGTAGTGACCTTAATCTAATTTACAAAGCATAAGACAACAAAGTCAAAATTAACTAAAGAAACCCTATAAAACAGGCCAATAAAATTCGGCAAATTCATAATTATTGGCCAATAAAATTTGGCAAATTCATAACTATTGCAGGACAAGTGACAAGTTTTGACAGAAGGCACCCAAAGAATAAATATAGGGATCCACCAACCCAAACCATCTTGATTCTGAATGTGAAGGAAACTGTAAAAGTGATAGATCACACTATAACATTGGAGCCATAAAGCAGCTATACTAAGTATACACATTTCACCTTTTTACTCAGTAAAGACTATATTAAAAAATGGAAAAAATGTTGATAAATTTAACACAGATGGTATCCCAGAACATATCAAAAAGAGGAAGAAAACTGAGGTAGTAACTAGATAATAATAAAAACTGAAAATGAAGCCAACAACTGACATCAGAGAAACCAGCCAATCAGACAATTACAGAACTGTGTCATGAAGACAGGAATTATATTAGGAAACAAACCTTTAAGTGTTCATCCTTAGTCACTGAAAGCACTGTATATGGAAGTGATAGGATAAGCGGAATGGCAATTCTGTGCAAGAAAAAGTAAAATACAGCGTAAGTAAAAATGAGAACAAGTTTATAAGGCTGCAATGTAGAACCCCATAATTCAGCCTTTTTTTTCTCTCCATACTTAAAAATACCCCCCCTTCCCCTTGCTCACTGATTTTTAAACTAGAAGCTACTTCTGACCCTACAACTTTAATAGCTAGGAAACTTGTGTGATATAATTATATCCAAAGTAGGTAGCTTGAAGGAATTTGAACCTATGACCTCTTGGTTAGAACCATGAAATCACTCAATCTAACTCTTGGTGTTAGAGAATTCAACTATAAAGGTGTAACTGCATCATATATTGAAGAAAGGAGTCTGACTTTCACGTTCCAAGAAAATATATTGTTAAAAACTGTTCTCTGAGAAAGAAACTAAACAAATGCTATATTTCAAAGACAGTCAGTTGATTACTATCAAAATGAGTCTATCTCACAGCAGCATCACATGAATCTATTACAGAGAAAGGCCAAAATACTGAAAACTCAAGAAAACAACTTGCCTATTGCTTTCCAAGCAAGCTAATGAGTCCACTTGGTTAAAGAAGTCTTTGGCATCACCAGGAATTCCAATGCCAAGGAAAAATTTCGCTAAACCCAATATTTTATCCCCTGGAAGCTGCAAACAGAATACAGAATCAATTGAACATTGTCCAACAGAAAATAGCTTCTAAGGCATGTACTTAATAGTATACTCCTACTCACGTTAAAACTTCCAGTAGTTACAGCAGCAAATGCTGTCAGCCCTCTAACAACTGACGAGGTAGTTGAAAGAGGACCCAGCTGTTCACGTATGTTAACAACTTTCTCATCAAAGTAAAAGGCCCCATCATCTACAATAAGGAAACTTGATTAGACAAGGATACCATAGAATTGACAAATAAACTATGAATTCAGAATTTATCACCAGTTAAAAACCATCATTTGGAATAAGAACTGAAAAAACAAAACATTCTAAAGAGGGATATCTGTTTAATTTACTAGGGGTGTCTGCACGCGCGTGTGTGTATCGTCAGAAACTTGAAAAAAAATAATGCAAGCATCCCCAAAGAGGGGTATCTTAGGCTATAGAAAATCAATCTAATATGTACAATATAAATATGCATACAGTTCCAGTCTTGATTTTTCTCTAGAGCCTATACTTCATTCTACAGGCCTGCCTTTCCAAACATCCCCATTGCCAGTTATGCTCATTTCCCTACAATACTTCTCCACCATCTAATATTAGAAAGATAAGAGAATATTTTCCCTTAAAATTATCTAGTAAAATTTTCTCTTTATACTCTAATGGGTCCTCCAAAATAATCATAGAAGACCAAAGAAGTAGCTCTCTAGGCTTTGATTGTGTGGCCAAGATCCTCCGAAACCTAGGAGATATGACTCATAGTACAGTTTTCTTGCAAATTTGAAGTCTGTAAGCATAAAATCATAAAATGAAAATAAGGAGGAAAAAGAAAAACACAATTTTCTTCAAACCAAATTCAAGGCAGAAACTACAATACCATATTTCTCAATACTGTCAAAGAGTTTCAGTACGTCATTTTTCACTGTAGCAATCTGCCAATTGTAAGCAAATGCAGAATATGAATATCGCTCAGCTGAAGCTAACAATTAAGAACAAAAGGAAAGGCAAGGAGATAATCTTTATAAAGAAAAAAATCATGACAAAATAGAAACAGAAAGTACATAAAGTAAAGCAGAAGTATGTATAAGCACACATGCAAAACTATGAATAAAAGCAAAATCTAATGAAAAGAAGTCCAATATCCTTTCAGAAGTTCCAAAATACCATAGATTGATCAATCTCAGAAGATGCTAATGAGACAACTCCAGCAATGGCTTCAAGTGCTATTCCTGCAAGAATCACGGTAAGTCAGGGGAATAAGCATAAGCCCATTTTAGCAGATAATTAAGAATCGAAATAATAAGCAACATATAGATAGAAACTGTTTTCAATAATACAACTGAAGTTGTATTAAAGCTACGTGTCAACAAAATTATAAAACAACACAAGCATATAATTATGGTTAACTGCATCCTTGAAAATAATTACCGGCAGCAAAGGTACTTGACTCAGGATTGTTAGAACTATAACGCCACCTTCCATCACTCTGGCTCAGAGCCTGCAAACATTACTTCAATCATTTAGAAAATAAATGTGCCATAAGTAGAACAAGAAAGTGGTAGTAAGACAGTGAGAGTGAGAGATGGCAGTTTGAGTCAGGTCCAACACTAAAACTCCTCCACCCACTCATTTTAAAGTCAGGCTCAACCAGTAACTGGATCTCATCTGACCTAGCATATGAGGGAAGTCTAACACTGACTCTTTTCCAACATATAAAATATTGGCGGGTAAAGAAGGAACTAACCTTAATAGAGTATAAAACTCCTTCAGCATCACTAAGATGTAAATCAGTTTTAGAAGTTTGATCCTGCATCAACAGATCAATTAAAAAATTTATCAAAATGAGAAAAATGTAAAAGTCAATAACATATTGAAGAGCAGACTAATGCATCTTTTCTTCAATAACCTTACAACAGTAAAAGAACCTCACAACCTCGGGCATATCATTTTTGTCTAGAAGTAAAAATAAATAAATAAATAAAAGAAAAATTAGCTCATATGTAAAATAAGACCAGTAAAAATAAACTTAAGTGTTGAATCCTAAATCACAAGCAATTATATGTTCAGAGTTCACCTTGATAAGTTTCAAACTTCCAATTGAACAGTAGAAGTCAAGCAACGAACTTGCACCTTTGACAGCAGTTTGGAGTCTTGAAATGATTTCCTTCACAAAGAATAAAAAACCATCATCTTGTTCACACATTTCCACAATGCTATAAAATACAAAGGCAATAACTTCCAAACTGGGAATAACACATCAGTGACAAGAGCTCAAAGATACCTCAAATACTTGTGCTTTAATCTTGCATTTTAAAATGCCGTTGACATTCAAAGCATACAACAAATCCTTTGGAGTTGAGGAGGATGACTCAAGGGTTTTTGATACAGAACCACAAGTAGTCTTGCTCAAATCAAGCTTTTTCTCAACTCCAAGAATCTCAAGGGATCTGAGGGCCTCATAAGTCTCTTCTAAGCTGGTATAATCAAAACCAAATCAGATGGTTGTTTCAAAAGAATGATGATAAAGATTATAATATGAAGAAACGTTATATACAAAACTTGTAGATTTAAATTGTAAAAATCCAGCTGAACAGAAAAAATAAGTAAACCCAACGCAACTCCTAAAAGAGAGAGAGATAGCTAAAAATAAGAATCAAGTCAAATGATCATAATTTCCCCTAATCACACGCATCGAATTCATCTCACCTACAAATGAAAGTGGAAAAATGAAAAGGCAAAGCAGCTTAAAAACTTCCATTTCCAAATGTATAAACCCCAATATTTAAAAAAATAAAAACACATTTCATTCACAAGTAAAACTTTCGATCAAATTCTTCATTGAAAATCCGATTTTCTCAGCAACCAAACAGACATAAATCTTAAAATATATATATATATATATATATCCGCTTCATAATGCGCACTGGAATTGCAGAAAAAAAATATAAAAGAGAGAGTATATGCATCAAAATAGGGTTTAAATCGAAATGGTACCTGCCAAAAGATCCATCGACAGGTTTGAAGACGTCTAAGGCAGCGGATCGGTGGGAGTCCGAAATCGGTTGAAAGATCGAAGCAGCATGGCAGATCGAAATGGCAAAAAACAGCACCAGAAATCCTACTAGACTCCGGGCCATTACTGCAATAATATTAACAGAATGAATAAATTAGAAATAGAAATCATATAATGAGAAAATTGAAAGGAAACTGAGAAAACTAGGGTTTAGATCGTACGTAGCAGTTGTGGATGTAAGTCAGTGTTGTGAGTCTGCGACGACCAGCACTGGTGCGAGGAAGTGTTTCAACTGTTATAAAACCAACCAGGCGAGGTGTGTGTTCCAATTTGTACCTAAGTCTTGGCTATTATTACCGAACTGCCACTCTAAAAAAATATTTATTGTGGTATAATAATTTTTTAATGGGTATTATTTTGATTGATTCCTGATATTATAGAGGAAATTAATCATTACCGAACTTGAATTAGTTTTTAATTGCTTCTTTAGTTTTTGTAGAGTCCAATTGTCATGAGCAATGGGTAATCTGTGTTACTGAAAATTATCAATGTTCAATCGAGATTTCTATTTTTTTTAAGCTCCACGAAAGTCCATTTTACCCTGTTCCCTCAATCTTGTGTAAGATCCTATACTTTTTTTTAAAGAAAACTCAATGAGATCGAAGATTATTAGCATATTTGGATTTATTAATTAGGTTATCTACATTTGAAGAATAAAAATAGACAAAAATTTTAATAACATCAAACTTAAAAAGAAATAGACACAGAATTATATTTTAAAATTATTTTCCTTGTTAAATTGAGCTACCAGTAAGTGATAACACGCCAAGATGCATATGCTTATTGGTAACTCAATATGTCATTTTTTTATTTTTTTTTGATATCCAGGATGTCCACGTTAGCTTGTGCATACCTCAATTATTCTTCGAAGGCCTGAAGTTAACGACTAAATAAACCTCTATTGACTATCCCTTATTAATAATCGCAAAGATTCAAACTTAAAACCTCTTAAATAATACACTCAAAAATCCCAAACGAATCGTCAAACTACCTAAAGGTAGTTTCAATATGCCCTTTTCGGTAACTGAATTCAAATATCTTCACAAATTCATCACTTATTTTCCAACTGAGCAAGTGCAAATATAAGCCCATGAATGAAAAACGCAGAGGTACCCACACATATTAAGCTAGTATGACATACTTGATTGTTAATAATATATTTTTCAATCAATCATCGATCCAACATTAACATACAACTATTCCCTGCTACATTACACAACCATAGAAAGATGAAACATTTGAAAACCCTACCATTTAAATATAAAGTTCCAAATTAAAATAGCTCCAAATGATACACCAACGCTCTACGCTCCTTAAATAAAATTTCAGTACTTGAGAGGCGGCTTCTGAGTGGGCAAAAGTCCAAATCGCTTCTTCAAAAGAACTCTTTGCCTCGAGAATTTGTCATCAGGGGAAAACCGGGCTGCAGTTGGAAGACGAAATCGACGGCACATTAAAACTTATTAATAATCAAGCGAATGCTCATTTACAATAACAGCATTTAACCAAGTAAACTATATTCTCTCCTATGCTGCATCCCAAAACATATTACTTGGAAAATCTAACCTAAATTAACATAATTACTTTGGAAAATATATAAAACGAAAGGAAATTATCCTCAATGCAGGACAAACCAATTAATAAAGATCCTCAGTATGAATCATCTTCCAAATTTTATGAAAGTGCTATTGTTGCAGGTCGGAGAAACTACATCTCAAGCAATCAAAAGACCGGAACATTCATCTAAAAATAAAGTAAGACATTGAACAAATAAACAAGAGATTACCTGGATGAGCAGATTGAGTAGGAATACCTGAAGGTGATTCCTTCTGCATTCAATAATACAATCAAAGGTTAGTAGACAGATTGACAAAAACAAGAATAAAAAGATAATAAACTTTGAATCGAGTTCAAAATATGCGCAACATAATCAACTTTACAAATCCCAAAACGACATCCATAATTGACGTTCCACAAAGACATACCTTAGTGGTGTAGACTTTATCGCCATTCTCGTTTATGTAGAACTGAAGATACATCCTCACAATTTGTTAAACCTAAACAATTACTTCAGCTCAGAGAACACAAGACAAGCGATAGAACTGGGAACCCTAGGGTTTAAAAAGAGGGGTTTTTCCTCCAAACATGCGTCGCACGTGTCCAACTAATAGTAACTTCTGGGCCGTTATGGCCAAGGCCCAGATTCAAGCTCAAAAAGAGAATGATGAAATAGTTGACCAATCAAATCAGTCTTAGAAGCCACGTCTCTGTAGCATTCTCTCAAGTGATATGTGATACCTCCTCTTCACCACCCTGCCCTCTTGTTCCTTCTCGTTCCTGAATAAAAGTTTGAAGTCAAGTATACATTTTTTCTGCATTTCCTTGCAAAACGACAATGTCGTTTGAAGATGAGGAGTCATTCGAGCACACGCTTCTCGTAGTCCGCGAAGTCTCCGTGTACAAAATCCCCCCACGCAGTACCTCCGGCGGCTACAAATGCGGCGAGTGGTTACAGTCCGACAAGATCTGGTCGGGTCGGCTCCGAGTCGTCTCTTGCAAGGACCGCTGCGAGATCCGCTTAGAGGATCCCAACTCTGCCGAGCTCTTTGCCGCGTGTTTCGTCCTCCCGGGCCAGCGTGAGACGTCTGTCGAGACCGTCCTCGACTCCTCCCGGTATTTCGTGCTTAAGATCGAGGACGGAACGGGGAAACACGCGTTCATCGGGTTAGGTTTTAACGAGAGGAACGAAGCGTTTGATTTCAATGTGGCGTTATCGGATCACGAGAAATACGTGAGACGAGAAATCGAGAAAGAGACTGGCGAGACGAGTGAGAGCGATAGTCATATCGATATTCATCCCGCTGTTAATCATAGATTGAAGGTACAGCCAACAAGTTTATAATAAATTTAATTATTCTCATAATTAGCTCTTTTAGTCTTTCTTACTCTCATTGTTATATTCGTCTATTGTCTCTATACTGTGATAAAATTTATGAGAGAACTTTTTGTATTTGATGCGTAGCTTACTCAAGTTTGTGTCTTTCGCATTGGCTTCTTATTATTTGGATTTGCAATATCGTTGTGTGGTCTCCATCAATGGGAGAGTAGAATTTCGATTGATCTAAATTTTGGGTTATTTGATGTGGGTCTGAATTGGTATTTATGTATTGATTCAGGATGGATTTGACTTAATTATGTTTCCGATAATAGGAAGGCGAGACTATCCGGATCAATGTGAAGCCCAAACCAACTAGCGGAACTGGTATGCTTTCAGCGGCTGGGTTATCAGGAGGGACTTCTGATCTGGGAAAGCCAAAGCCTAAAATTGTGGGGCTTGCCCCGCCACCTGAGGGGGGGAAAATTAGGTCTCCTCTCCCTCCACCTCCTAATGATCCTGCTGCTGCTCGGATGAGCTCTGCTAGTCGTAACATTGGTATTAGAGCACCAAACGAAACCACAAGACATTCTACGACGGATGCTTTTTCAGATCTTTCTCAGATTGAGGTATGTAGTTTGGTGATAGTATTATGCTAGTATGACTGTTGATTAAAAAAATTATACAATGAAGGAATGATTTAATGTATATTTTGTTACTAATGGAATTAGAATGCCAAAATATACAAAAGATGTTGCACATATAAACTAGTATTATCATTTAGTGTATTTACTCGTTCTTGGAATTGGCACTGTTGTGGTTGACATTCATATATTCTGCTTTGCTTAGAAGTTACTTTTGAAACCCACGTTAAGAAATGGTACATAGAGTCTTCAAATGTAACTATACACAACACTTGTTGATTTTATTTTCCTTTTGTACAAATAGGATTCTTTTATTGTTGTCAAAAAATTCATGTTTTGATATCCAGGCTTTTACCAATAGATAAAGGAACATTTTGTATCCAGTCACTCCTGGAAGAAAATGTTTTTCAGATCCGCTGTTTTCATTTGCCATTTCCCTGTTCATGGCCATGCAAAAATTAACAAATATATTATTATTTAGGGTGAAAACAGCTGGGGCTTTTTATGTTTCACCTTGAACTCTATCTATACAAACTGGTTTTTCCTTTCTGATGATTTCCTTCTGTGATGTTTATACAATCTTTCTTATGTGTAAACATTGTGCTCTGCCTTCAATGCTAATCACTACTTCTACTGCTATAAACTAGAGCCATTTTTTAGTAACTGGGGACATTAATAAAACACCATAGCTTAGTTGCTTATTGATTTGTGCAGAGGAATCTTCCTTCATCTACCACATCCGGATCTAGCAAGACTACCGCATCAGGGTGGGCAGCTTTCTGATTGTGTGAGCATTTCTTATGTATGAGATCTTTGTTTGATGTTTGTCCAAGGGAAAAAACAAAAAATTGGTGAACAGAAATTGAGGAAAAAATATGAAAGAATACCAAATACTTGCATATTTGATGATGTTATATTGATATGTCTTTTGTCCATTCGGGATTCATTATGTTTCATTCAATATAATAGAGAAATTAATTATTTTTCTTTCTTCTTCCGGTTCGGCTTGTGTGTATCTTTGTAAGTTAGACATTCCTGCTCGAATAATGTTTGTCATGGAGCTTGTATCTTTAGCACATTAAATGAAGAAATATACAGTTTGTTAGGCCTTTCTGCCAATGGTTTTGTTTCACATTTTCCCGAATTTGACATTTCCCTTTCCCATCTCGCCATGTAGTTTTCCTTTTCCTTTCCTTTTCTTTTTTTAATTTTTTGGAAGTACAAATCTTGATTTATATTCTTATAACTGAAAATGCAAAAACTGGAAAACAACTCTTTATTTTGTTTCTCCGATTTTAATATCCTTAAAAAAGTATTCTTCAGTTATTTTACAATTATGAGATAATGATATTGTAAACATAACGCAAATCAAATACGAAGAAACACCCATTTCTCCTTTTCTCAAGAAATACGAAGGCAAACGACAATCCACGCACAGACGTATGAGCAGTGAAGTTTAATGTTATAGAAACTTCCAACTTTAGTTAATCAAGGGACAGCATACACTACAAATACAGAAAAAAACTTGTACTCAAATCCGGAACCTTCTTCCTGTATTGACCATCTAATCAGTGTATCATTATCTACAAAAATAAAATTGCATAAAAAAGAAAAAAAAAAAAAAAAAAAAAACTCTACAAAAACTACCATGGAAGTTCTCTAACTCCTTTTTTGTCGACAAAATGTTCCATCATTGTGAAGAAACATATAAATTGCAAAAATCAATCCAATTGTGGCTACGGGAAAGATGGTTATGTACATCAGTGTCTGTATCTCCAATGATCTTTTTGAGTTGGAAAAGAAACCTCGTAGTAATGACTATGGCAGTGTTGAAGCAATCATTCCTATTGTTGAAACTCAGGCTTCAGTAGCCAACATGATCCATTTCGGTCCTTCTTAAGGATAGCTATTTCCTTCAAAAGATTTTTAAATAAAGGAAGATCCTTTGGAGGTATCCTATTCCTAAAATGCTGGACTATGCTGGCTGAATCCGTGCTTCCACCTTCTTCTTGTATAAAAGTACATATTTGACGAATCAATACCTCAGGCTGCACACCAGATATATTGTGAGATGAACATGTGGTCCCAACATCTGTAGATCTTGCTCCATTAGCAGAACTTGAGGCCACCTTATGCCCAAGTCCAGCGGCAGCTGCCTTTTCTTGGTTTCCTCGAATTTTAGCCAGTAACTCAGATGAAGATAATGCCTTTCCCGCAGATGCCCCAGCTGCAAAGCCACTAAACTTGCTTGTTTTGCTGCTGGATGAGTCATCTGAGGGCTTAATCAACTGAGAATTCACAGTTGAACCAAATTTCTGGCGAACAGATGATGGTGCACCAGCAGTTCCAGATTTCCCCGTCCACGTCGGGACAGATATGTCGTCACGACTTCGAAGCATTCTGGACAGGCGCAACGCTTCTACTGCTCTTTGTGCAACTTGCGAAGCTTGCTCCTGCAGCCTCAGCTTCTCTTCATCATGGGCATTCATGATTATGTCATGGTTCACAGCACTCTGGTGATTCAAAAGGGAAAGAGAAACAAAATCATGTGATGGCAAGGAAAAATAAAATAAAAGAAAAGAAAACAATAAACGCAATAGGTACATTAATGGAGATTACTGAGGGTGTCATTGTGTTTTACCATCATTTTTTTCAAAGTTCTTTGTGCTAAATGTCTTTTATAATGTGGAAAAGTTGTTTTTGTACAAACAGTTGAGGGAAGACTCTTCAAAAGCAGAGTGCATCTCACGCAGTCAAACAAAATTAACGAAGAAAGACAGTAGTTCATTTCAAACAAAAATTAAAAAACCTAAGGAAATGCTGAATTTGAATAAAGGTGGCACATCAAAGCACAAGTAATACAATCATAAGAACAAACAGAGAGGAAACTTACATGTATGCCTTGTGCATCAAAAAGACTCCTTAAGATATTTGTTTCTTCATCCACTTCACCATCATTATTATCAGCTTTTTCTTTCCCTTTTCTTCTGGAAGATCCAATCTCTAAGTTGTTTCCTTTATAACTTGCACCATCATCAGCATTTGTTGCATCTTTTTTACGTTTCTGCTTATCCAGCTTCTTTTCCTTCTGAACCCCAACAAGATTCACATCTTCAGACAACTGACTGAAAATATTAGAAGTTTCAGTTGACCCACCATCCCCATCATCATTAAAAGTGAAAAGATCCTTCATATCTCGAGCCTTGAAAAACCTTTTCTGCTGTGGGTTCTTCAATATCTTATTAGTAAGAAAATGCTTGTATATCTGACGGTGATACACCTTCTCCTCAATAGTTCCACGTGTAATCAATCTATAAACAGTTACATCCCGTTTCTGACCAATTCGCCAAGCACGCTCCCTTGCCTATTATAAGCCATAGTTTACATGTATGGTTTACAGTAAATGAAAATTAACTCACAGCCACAAGTATTTCCCATAATAATTACTGAAATTTAAATAACAACACAAACAAAATTTTACACGAGACTACCAAGCTTCATTAAATATAAGCCCTATGTAGAAAAACATGAAAAGCAGGAGTGTTTCTTGTAAACATTTCCAGAAAAAAAGAATAAAAGATGATACCATGATTGGGACAATATCTAATAATGTCTATGTATTAAGCAAATTTTCTTCATGATATATGAAAATATAGTAATTGCATATTAAAAAAGAAAATGAGTGGTAAAATGAAAAATAAATTGCAGAAGTACCTGCATATCAGTTGAAGGGTTCCAATCAGGGTCAAAGATGATCACCCTGTTTGCACCAGTCAAATTTGTTCCCAAACCACCAACTTTTGTAGTTAGAATGAATACAAACACATCACTAGAGTTATTGAACTCATCTATTAAAGCCATTCTCTGCTTGACAGGAGTAACACCATCCATTCTCCTGTAGTCATAACCATTAGAAACCAAGAAACTCTCAAGAATATCAAGCATCTGTTGAGTTTGAGAAAAAAGAAGAACACGATGACCCTGCTCCTTCCAAACCTTCAGCACTTCAGCAACAACTTTCATTTTCCCACTACGTTCAGGATTCCCGTAATCTGGGTTCTGGCAGGAATGCTCTCTCTCAAGCAGATCAGGGTGGTTGCATATCTTGCGCATCACATCAATTCCATATAAAGAATTTTTTCTCCCATCCAATATCTGTTCCACCTCAGAGCTAGCAAGAAATGCTCGATATACCGACCGTTGCTCTGCAGTGAGACTGCAGAAGAGAACATGCTCAGTTTTTTTGGGAAGGTGGGCATTCACATCAGCTTTCATACGCCGGAGAAGATAAGGCATGATCAAGTCTCGTAGGATCACAGCACATCTGCACGATGTCAAATTTAGAATTAAGAAATTATTCAGAAATATCACATTGGACATATCTGGTTATAAACAAAAGATACAGTAATTCACATAAACGAAAAAACATCTTATAATATTCAGAGATATCACAATTCACACCTGTAGGCTGTCGATACTTGTAAAGGTGAAGCATTGGCATAACCACCCACAGCTATTGGAACTGCAAATTCTGCTTCAAAAACAGGCAAAACCCCCAACTTTCCAGGGAAAACAAAATCAAACAAGGACCACAATTCTGAAAGCTTATTTTGAATTGGTGCACCGGTCATTATTATCCGGTGAACTGTCTGTAGTTGTTTGCAAACCAGAGTGATTTCAGCATTAGGATTTCGAATTCTGTGTCCTTCATCCAGAATGGCATAACCCCATTCAATATCAAGCAACTTTTCCCCTAACAAGCGTAGTTGCTCGTACGTAGTAATAAGCAACCCAGACTCTGATCTTAAAACTCGATTTATCAAGAAATCCCATTTTTTGGTGTTTTTAGAAGACAATTTTTCCTCATAATCACTGTCCAATGAACCTTCACTATCGCAATCACTATGGGAAGATTTGGCTCTGTTACCAGGATCCTGAGCAGAATCATGCAATATCTCCACACGGAAGCTTGGATACCATTTTTGTGCTTCCCTTTTCCACTGTCGCAATAGTGTAACTGGGCAGACAACAATGCTTGGTTTATACATACTACTGAAATGCAATGCCCCAAGAAAGGATAACACTTGGATAGTCTTGCCAAGACCCATTTCATCTCCAATAATTCCACCTGCTCTTTGGCAATGCAATTCCCATAGCCACTGCACTCCCACCTTTTGATAATCAAAAAGATCACTAAAAATGGATTCTGGAATTTTGAGCCCACCTTCAAGTGTCACAAAAGGAGGTTCACTATCATCTGTATCCTCCACATCCTCTTGCTTTTCTCCCTCATAACTGGAAGTGACAAAGTTATCCCTTCCATCTTCAACAAAGGAAAAAGCATAAACTTTAATAAATAAGGATCCATATCACTGGCAAAAAGAGCAGTCTTAACATACAAAAATCTATTATTGTACAGGTCAAACAGGGAGAATGCAAAGGGATATTATAAACAACAAGAGCAAACCTCTAATATGTACAATAAAGTTTGTTGATTCTCCTCAAAAAATATGATGTGGAAATTGAAATGAAGATGCAATCAAACAATGAGGGAAGTAGTGGACAACTTCACACAGGAACAAGCCTTCTAAAAGACAAGGCATTAATCAGGACCATAAAGGGATATTTTGTGAATGATTAAAATGAAGAAAGCAATTGATAGAGTCGAGGAATTAAATAACCATTCAAAATTATCATAGAAAAAAAGTTACCATACAAAATTACATATACAGAATACCTAAGCAAGAATGATATTGAACATACCATTCACTTCAACACCAGTTTCTTCACGAGAAATGTGATTCCTCCACTTCTTGTTAGGCAAAGGTCGTTTCTTTTTCCTTTTTGTACTTTTTTTCTTTTCAGCCTCACTTTCCTGAGAAGGGGGAATTCTAAAAGGTGTTTTTAGCCTCTGGAAAGGATGGGTCGGTCCATCAAGCTTGGGAATTTCTTCTGGATCAAGTAGCTTGGTTGTTGGACGAGTTTGTGCAGCTTCTGACATTGACCGAACAGCCCTGTCAACACTGGCTGAGAAAAGATCACTACTTTTGTCTTCTTCTTCCATGGTTACATTGTGCCTATTAGATGGTCCTGGTTGTTGAAGACAACGTTCAAAGCCCTTAAGCTTGTGAAAGGGAGTTAAAATTCCTTTGCGAACCAATTCATCCCTTTTCTAAGACAAAATATAAAGTTAGCAGTCCCCTGAATTAAATTATGAAACTAACAAATGTTAGAAAATAAATAACTGGAGATATCTTGCGTCCTATAATAAATCACATAAAGCAGCTCATTGTTTAAACAAAGGTAGAAATGTATTTGACTCACTGTTTCAACAAATCCTGCAGATGCTGCATCCAATACCGAATCAAAATCAGCATCATCATCAAATGAAACTGTTTTCTGACGTTTTGACTGTTTTCTGCCTGGTTTCAGAACTTCTTTTGCCTTCTTCTTGGGTCTGAATTCTTCCTTTACCAAGTCTTGAATAAGTCTATCATGCTTAATACCCTTGGAAGTCTTTTCGTTTTGAAAAATTGAAAGTTCCTGCTCAAGTTGAGCCTTAGTTTCCTTGAGGCTTTCAAGTCGATCAGTAGCTAGGGCATGCTGAAGAGTCAAACCATTGGCAGATGCCTGAACAACACACTTATCATCCTCTTTATCCACTTTTTCCGTGCCATCATCAACATCAGTAGCTTGGTCTTCATCTGCAACCCTTCTCACATGATCAACAGTCAAAGCAACAGCATTTATTTCAAATTCTACAGCCCTTAACTTATTGTAAAGTTTCTCTTGACTGGTGGAGGACGGATCAATCCTTTCCAATTTAACACGAGGCTCCTCCTCCTTGCTCCCTTCGGCTTCGTTACTGTTGCCAGCATCATTTTCCACCTACAAAATAACATTAACTATCCACAATTTATACCATCTTAAAAAATCAGACGTCATAAAATGTCTCCAAATTCACAAGAACCTAAGTAGAACAACAGTTACCGACCAGACCAAGAACAATCCACCGAAAAACTCCCTTCAATCAAAAATCTCATACATCAATTCTAATGTAGGACAATATTACACCTCCGCCATCAATGATAATAGAAATGAAATTAAACACTACCGAGTCCATAATAAAGAAGATAAAGAATGGAAACAAATACCGCAGCAGCTATTACGTCACGTTCGATATCTTCAGGATTTGCCGATGTAACACCCAAACTACTCAGCAAAATCCTGTCCTCTTCTTCCTCCATCAAATTGAACCAATCAAACAATCACTCACTCACTCCGCCATTTCATAGCCAACTACGAACACCTGCAAAAACAGAAAGCATGTCGAATTCATTCTTCACCAGCATTACGTATTAATTTACAGTAATACCCTCACACGTCACAAATACGATTTGTATTAACAATTTTCCTTGGGAAGAAATCAGCTTCTTCGTCTTCTAATTAATATTGAACAAAACTAATTCATGCTTCAAATTACAATTACTTACAGTTTCAAAAGTAAGCTACTTCGATTAAATGTTAAACAGAGGGAAAATACTTTAATTTTTCCTTAGGGATTTTAGAAACGTAATCAAATTGTAATGCAGGAGTAACAGAGTTATTATTCAGTAAAAAGCGTTTGCCCATAGCAATATCGATTAATAAATATGTCTACCTGATTGTTAATGGAAAGTCCTGAAACCTAATATTTACAGATTTGAATCGTTTCGCTCGGACCGTCTCTTCGGTTTCTCTCAGCTTTTATTTGTCGAACGGCGGTCGTATTTAGACCAACGAAACGTACGAGTGGCTTCTTTCTCAAGGACATGGCCCATGTCCATGTTAACAAACTCGAGCTCAATTAACCCGACGCCGTTTAATTAATTTATATTTAATGAGTCCCGGTTAAAGGAGGCAACGTGGCAAATTCATAACCCGCCAAATTCGAAACACGCGTCGACATGGTATTGGCTGAGTTCGGTTATATAGACCTAAATTAAACGACGTTGGCGTCATTCGTGTTGGTGCTTTGGAAGAAAGAAATGGCTGAGATGGACAAAGCGAGTGAGAAATCAAACAGTAGTAGTGTTAGAGTATGTGGCATGCAATTTTCTTACGACGGGCAGACTCGTCTCTTCTACGATTTCAATCTCGATATCTCACCGAGATCTCGTTGTCTTCTTGTTGGTGCCAATGGATCTGGTAATCTAATTCACTCTACTCTCTAGATTAGATTATATTGATTGAGTTATACAGGTACTTGAAATGTTGAGAATGGCCATTGTGATGTACAGGGAAGACGACCTTGTTGAAAATTTTGGCCGGAAAGCATATGGTTGGAGGAAGAGACGTTGTCCGAGTGCTTAATGGATCAGCCTTTCATGACACGCAACTTGTTTGTAGTGGTGACTTGGCATATCTGGGAGGCTCTTGGAGTAAAACTGTTGGCTCTGCTGTGAGTTATAAGTTCTTCCTTTTTATTCTTTATGGAAAACCAAAGATGAATAGTAGCAATGCAGCCTTGCTTGTAAGGACCTATTATTTGTTTTCAATCAAGTTAATGGCTAGCTGTACGATTATCTCTGGTGTTTTCTTAGGGCTTATATTAAATACTCTAGCATTGTGAGTATTGAAAAGGCTGAATTTTTTAAAGTTTCTTATGCGTTTAAAACTTTAAAAACGTCAATTCACTCCTGTTGTACCCTCAAGTCCCTGGCACAGTGGCACTGGCACACTAGTCTTTTAATGAATAGCGTATTGAATTTTTGCCAGAGTGCTGGTTTTGCAGCCCTGAAGTATTGCTTGCTTGTTGTCATTGGCAGACAATAAATACTTTTAAGTAACTCTATTGAAAAAATTTGCTTATGGATCTGTGATTTCATAATTATTGTCCTCCTATCTTCTGCTTTCTGTATTTCTGAACATGTTCAGTTGGAATTGAACTGTAATTCTTGCAAATATTCAGGGAGAGATTCCACTCCAGGGAGACTTCTCTGCGGAACATATGATATTCGGAGGTGTGTTACTTTTTTTATTTTTTAATGTGGGAGAGGGGAACGCGACTAAGTACATATTTATTTCTTCCAATTTCATGGGATGTTGCATTCTTTAAACTATGTCCTCTGTTTTATGAGCAGTTGAAGGTGCTGATCCTGTTAGGAGAGAGAGGTTGATTGAGCTGCTTGATATTGACCTACAGTGGCGAATGCATAAGGTATCTGATGGGCAGCGACGCAGAGTCCAAATTTGCATGGGTCTTCTTCACCCTTTTCAGGTACTATAAAATTATGGAATTTGATAACAGTTGCAAATTTACCAAAAGTAAGCCTTTTGTAGTCCGTAAAATATAGTTCTATCAGTATGGCAATAGTATGTTAGGCTTCTCTTTAGATATGCTTTGTTAAAATCCTTCTTTTTCATTGTGCCTTGAAAATATATTACATCAACAAAAGAAGAGGGTATACCATGTGGAGCAGATTCCATTCATTCAGCACAAAATCAACTTGATTGGGGTATAAAAAAACTATACAAAAATTAAATACAGATCTCTGTAGCAATCTGTACACCTATGACAAGATTTGGTTTTTGAACATTCATTGGAACTCTCTGCTGTTAAGGGTTCAAAATTTCAAGCTTTTTTCGCTACAATTTAGACCATGTCTTGTCAAACTGATTTCGTAATGCTCAAACAGTTTCCTAAATTCTTTACTAGTTGGCAGTTAAACATAATGCCAACTCCTGAAGGCTTGATTTCATATTTCTGATATTTTTGACCTGTTACTTTGGGAGAGGATTTGGCTTGGCTTTTTTCCAGTCATCCAAGCCTGAGTTGACCCTGACATAGCGTAGTTGACACTTGTTTTTCGGTTTTTTTTTTACTTTGGGAAGACTCAATTAGACATAACTATTTGCAGCATTAATTGCTGATCCCTTTGCATCTGGGGTCTTTCCATTGTTAAAATATATGTTAACTCTTTTATATATCAACTTTTTTTCACAAACTAGAAACTGTCTTCGTTGTAATTGCAGGTTCTTTTGCTGGATGAGGTCACGGTTGACCTAGATGTCGTTGCTAGGCTTGATTTACTTGACTTCTTTAAGGAAGAATGTGATCAGGTATTGATTTTTTTCCATCAATTTTATCATAGCATTTGCATTCTCACTTGGAAACTTTGATTGAGGACTAGAAAATTTGAGACGTTATATATGGATATGGTGCTGGAGGCATAACCTTTTGGTATTCACATTGAATATTATTAGGAAAGAAAAAAAAATATATATATATATGTAGCGTCTTTTTTTTCTTTTATTTAGTCCAGTGCTCAATCATCTGGTTTCTATCCAGAGAAGATATGATTGTCGTCAGATTTAAAAAAAAAAAAAAAGACTTTCAGTCAGAATTCCTGAACTCAAAATTATTTGATCATGCATTAGACCATTACTTGTGAGGAAAAAATTGGTTCATGATATACTCTGACTCATATGTTATTTGTAGAGAGGAGCTACAATTGTTTATGCAACCCATATATTTGACGGATTGGAGACATGGGCCACTCATCTAGCATACATCCAAGATGGTGAGTTGAGAAGGGCTGAGAAGTTAACAGAAGTTGATGAGTTGAAAAGCTCGGCCAACCTTCTATCCGTTGTTGAGTCTTGGCTCCGTTCTGAAACCAAGCTTGAGAAGAAAAAAAATATCAACCCTCCTGCACAAGTTCAAAAGTCCTCTCCCTTTGGTACTTCTCCCTTTATGTCATCCAGACACATGGCATACTATCGTTAATCTCCCTATTTAACAAATTTCACATTGGAATTCAAGTATACAAGAGGGTAAAGATTTTTTATAACTGATCATTCATAGTTGACCCCTGTATATTTCTTATTCTTTGAGTGATATAGTATTTTGGCAGAGTTTTATAGAGGAAGGATAGCAGTAATAGTTACTTGGAGTTTGCTCTGGTAAATAGTGAACCCAGGTTTTATGCTTCTGGCATTACGAAATAATGTTGTAATTTACCATGTTGTCTCGAGAACTACTTGTAAGATTTTCTTCATTTGTTGGAAAATTCCGCGAATACTTCTCAAAGTTATCTTTTGTAACTGTTGTATGGCTTCAGGTATTTCGTTCGACTTTCTAAATGCAACCTCATTAACCTATTGGGCTTCCCAAACTTTACCCTATTTTCTTCTGCATCTGAAGGCCCTCGTTGTGGCTCCTACAACGAACTTACCAACTACCAGGTTGGTGTGATCTATCAAATAATTTCCAAAAGGAAACACTGTAAGAATAAAGCAATATATAGTTGTTGGTTTTCTAATCCGACTAAAAGGTATAATAATTAACCTAAAATATGGACCTTTCACCAATATATTATGGAATAACAGGCTTTATGAACAGGTTTTGTGATACTTGTAGCCGCAGGTTGACAGGATCATCTGTTATCCGATGTCAACACCCAATCTAGACAAAATTTTATAAACAATCTCCAAATATGTTCGAGTTTGGTAGAAGAGATGGTGACAGTAACACCAAAATAGACAATGAAGATAAAAGAATTGCTTGTGCTGCCAGGCAGGCCACATCTTGATGGCTCTTCTTCTCCAATTTCCACACAACCAACCACCCCACATAGCAGCAGCAACTCTTTCAGTTGAATGCCGCTTTAGATTTTAGAATGCTTTTCTCATTTCATCTCATCCTGTTGACCTCCTAATCAGCTTCCCAATAACTAAATCAAATGTCAATGGGACCCAAACCAAAACTCACAACTAATTCACCACACACATTACTATAGAGAAATGCAAAATCAAAATGTGTTTATCATTTGAATGCCCTTTGTGCGTTTTGTTGTTACTTTTTGTGATATCAAAAGCACTTCCCAACTGGCTAGTTAGTTGTGGTGTAGTATCCAGTGAAAAGAAGTTGAGAAAATGGTGGGCATGAATATATAACTTGTACAGGACTCGAGCTGAAGTTTACTCAAATGAAGCAATGATGGTCCCATAAAGTCATGCCATTGCTGCAAGAAACTCTTAGTTTTTAGGAACCAGATGAGATATAATATGACGAACGGATGATGCACTCACTCTGTCCAAATTTTCAGTGTATTAGTTTACTAACCCACCGTTATGATAATAATAAACCGTATAACTGCCCATTAAAGAAATATTTCATAAATATCATATACTATAATTGGAATAGCGGTAAGCCGGTAATTGAGTTGGAATAGAACATCATACTCCCAACAACTTTTTAATCACGGAGGAAAATAGGTGACTCATTCTATCCCATAGTCAAAATATAATGGCTCCATTTGGTCCACAATTTTGTGTTTTTGGGAAAAGTTTTTTGAAAAAAGTTGAAAAAAAAAAGTTGAATTGAACGGATATTACGATGTAGGNATATCATATACTATAATTGGAATAGCGGTAAGCCGGTAATTGAGTTGGAATAGAACATCATACTCCCAACAACTTTTTAATCACGGAGGAAAATAGGTGACTCATTCTATCCCATAGTCAAAATATAATGGCTCCATTTGGTCCACAATTTTGTGTTTTTGGGAAAAGTTTTTTGAAAAAAGTTGAAAAAAAAAAGTTGAATTGAACGGATATTACGATGTAGGATTTATAAACTAATAAAATACCCCTTATGTTTGTTTTTTTATAAAACACCCCCTATAATAAAACATTAAAAATTAACAAAAACACCTCCAATCCATCCTCAAATACGGACAGCCAGCCACCACTGTCAGAGGGTGGTCGGAGTCACCGTATCAGCGCATGACCGGCTAGATCTTGCCGGTCGTGCACCAATATGGCCTTTTTCGGTCAGATCTACGGCTAGATCTGACCGTATTTGCTCGTCAACAACGGCTAAGAAATGGTCGTCGTTGATGGTTAACGACAACCGTTTGTTGGTCGTCATTACCGACTAGTTACGGCCAAAGATCTGGCCATCAACGTCCAAATCTTTGGCCTTAGATCTGTCCTTTTCCGACCAGATCCATCGTGGATTTGGCCGAAAGAGGCTAGATCGGTGTACTACCGACCAGATTCAGCCGATAGTGCGCCATCCTACTAGATTCCAACCATTTTCCGGCAGTGGTGGCTGGAATTTGGTAAATGTAGATTGTTGGAGTATTTTACAATTCTTAAAAAAATATTTATGAGTATTTAATTAAATTAACAAATTTAAGAGCTTTAAAAAAAGTTAAATAAAGTTGAATAATATTGTGAGTTTTTTGGTAGTGTAATGTTTAACTTTTTCCAACTAGAGGAAGCCATTATATTAAAGTCAAATAAAAAATAATTATTTTAATATTAAGTAAGTACAAAAGTCCCCAACATTTAATATGTCTCTAAAGTATGTGATTAATCTTAGATAACTATTAAATCGAATATCCAAATTATTTATCTAAAATAAAAAAGCCTATTTATTAATATCGGGTGCACATTACGCACAAGGCACATCATAGAACTAGAGGTCGCAGGCATAAGGCAGCAGCCGCCCGCACCATCGAATCTTCTCGGATCAGTTTCTCGCGAGATCCGATGCCAGAAAAATCATAAACTAATAAAGTTAAAAAAAAAAATAATAATAATAATAATAATAATAGATGAAAGGCAAAACGTATATAAAATGGACTATACATTAGAATACACCAATACAAAAGAGAGAATCACGCGGGCCGGAAGACAAAGAAAGCAAAAACAAGTCTTGTTTCAGTTTTCGTGGATCTCATTATCTTCTCTCTGATTGACTTAATTTTCGCGGTAATCCGAATTCCCAGCCTCTTTGTTTCAATACTAATATCAGATTATTAGGTTTTCTTTTTGTCTTTTATATTCCTTTTTTTTTCTGTTTCATCGAATCCTTTATGGTAAATATACTTTTTGTTGGAATTTTATTGATTTTGAATTTTTTTTTTTTTTTATGTTCAATTGTGATAGTAATTTTATTGGAGTTTGGAATGCGTTTGGTTTTGTGATTAGTGTTTTTATGTGCAGAAAGTGGGCGTAATTAAGAGTGTGCGTTTGAATTGGAGAATAAAGGGGATGCTTTGTTGGTAGTTTAGTGGGAGGGAGAAATGGATTCGGCGAGGAGTTGGTTGCAGAAGCTTCAACCGCGAGATAAAGTAAGGGGTTTAAGTAGGAAGAAGGAGGCTGGTGGCAATGGAAGTAATGACGATTGTACGGATGAAGAAGCTATGTCTAATGCTACAAAGCAGAAGGTCGCCGCAGCTAAGCAGTACATTGAGAATCATTACAGGGAGCAAATGAAGAATCTGCAAGAGAGGAGGGAGAGGTATGTTCTTCTGTTCTTGTTATGATATTGACTTAGTCTTTGGACGCTATTATACCTTTTTTTCACTAGTCGTTACTACCAATACATGTTGAAAAGTATGGTTAACAATTTTGCTTTCCAAATTGAGAGCTCAATTAGGAGCATATATCCATCGCATTAACCCTTTTCACTTCATGTTGTTCTTGAGCAGTGGGTGGAAGGGGGGCACTATTAGTTAGGGACATTGATTATTGTAATTGGAATCATTTGTCACTAAAGTTATTTTCTGAGAATGCTCCTCTTTGTAGAGAATGAAAAAGTTGGTGGTCTTCTAACTTGTATTGCTGCACCAAATGCCATAAGCTTTTCTTTTATTACAATTTCTTTTAGGCTACAATCTAGGCACAACCTCTTGTGGATGTTTTTCAGAGCTTGATGGTGCAAATAAGTGGGAAAAGAAAAATAAGAAATTATTTGGTAGCTGCAGCTTTCCTATTTCTTTTTTTTTTTTTTTTCAGCTGATGTAAGTTTGAAATGATGAAAGGGCATATACTCAGTTTTTCCCGTCAGGAGTGGTTTTGTTTTATTACTATTGATTAATTGAATTCTATTTATTTTATAGTTGTTTTTTCCTGCACAGCGCTTTAAGTGTAATAGGGTTTGGACAATGTTTTGGATCATCTATTGAATAGTGGTTTTCTAATGCTTCCATTCAATTATCTGTACTTTATCTATTTGCATAGAGTTTTCTTATAGTCAATAATGTCAATTTTTTTGTTTTGTTTTTTATCTCCTCGGTTTAAAATCTAATCTAAATTTCTTCTTGGGAGAATTATATATTGTGGCGCTTTGAGATCAAGAAGCTTTCTAATCATATTTTTTTCTAAATAGGCGAAATATATTGGAAAGAAAGTTGGCTGATGCTGATGTCTCTGAGGAAGATCAAAATAACCTTCTTAAGTTCTTGGAGAAGAAGGAAACAGAATACATGCGTCTTCAGAGGCATAAAATGGGTGCTGATGATTTTGAGTTATTAACAATGATTGGGAAGGGGGCATTTGGGGAGGTACTTTCTTATGAAATGTAACATTTTATGATCTCTTTTTTTAGTCCTTCATTAACAAAAAAATAATAATAATAATAAAAATAAAAATTCTAACTGCATGTTAGCTTCTTGTCCTTCAAATTGAGGTGCTTCTCTGCAGTTGTTGGTATTTTTCACAGAGCTCTCACCTTGATCAATACTTTTATTGTTGTAATTCTTTGTTCTATAGTTCTATAGTTCTTGGTTATTATATTTATCTTGTTGAATTATGACAGCCTTTATGTAGTTGTTGGTTCATTCTTTTCACATCTGATCTTCAAAGAATCTTATTTGATGTTTGTAGTCTTAGCAATTTTCTAATTGTCTCTGGCATTAGAATATTGAGAATGTGAGGCTTATCTTTGAAGCTTCAAGTATTGTAGCCTTTATGATACACACATAAAGTTATGTATCATGGATGTATGCAGTTTTACATGTTTCCCGTGGACTTGCAGTATCTAGTCATTTTAGTCAGAAGATCTTATGGAATATCTTGTATTATGTATTAGTTTTTGGCCTATGTATTCAATTTGGCACCATGCTGGTATTCTGTTATCAGTTTTTGATTTTTACAGCATTTGTTTTGTGCTGCAGGTTAGAGTATGTAGAGAAAAGACAACTGGTCATGTTTATGCTATGAAAAAGCTTAAGAAATCAGAGATGCTCCGAAGAGGCCAGGTATTTATTTATCTCTTCTTCCAAATAATTCACTAATGTTTTGTGCACTATATGTATCACCAGTTGGCTTCTCAACTTTTTAGGTTGAGCATGTGAGAGCAGAAAGGAATCTGCTTGCCGAGGTTGATAGCAACTGCATTGTCAAACTCTACTGTTCTTTTCAAGATGATGAGTTTCTTTATCTTATTATGGAATATCTACCTGGTGGAGATATGATGACTCTACTTATGCGAAAGGATACCTTGACCGAAGATGAAGCCAGATTCTATGTTGCAGAGACAGTTTTGGCTATTGCATCTATCCATAAACACAATTACATTCATAGGTTTGTTGACAAATGTATGAGTGAAATTTTACACAGTACAAAAACGTCTGTTTTTCTGGCCTGGAAATATGAGCTTAGCTTCTTTGGGTGTTAAATGTTGCAGAGATATCAAGCCTGACAACTTGCTGCTTGATAGATTTGGACACTTGAGACTCTCTGATTTTGGTCTATGTAAACCCTTAGACTGCAGCACTCTTGGAGAGCACGATTTTTCTGTCACAAACAATGCTAATGGGGCTGCACAGAATCAGGAGCAACCAGGAGCTCCAAAACGGACACAACAAGAGCAACTGCAACATTGGCAGAAGAATAGGAGAACACTTGTAAGTTATCTGCCATTATTTGTAATGATTCCCTCTCGTAAGTGCAGGTTTGGTGAATCAGAGTACTGGGTAATGGAATGATTTTTGTAGATTTTCCTTGTAAAGCATTTTTAGTGGTCTTGGGGAGATGTTCCACCAGGTTCATCCATGCCCCCTCTCTCTTCCCCGTTCCTCTCTTTGGTGATTTGGAGAATTATTTTTTCAGGATATATCAAGAGAGAAGCATTTTCTTTTGCTTTAATAGTGATTATTGAGCTTTTGGCAGAATGTTGCCTGTGACTATCAGCGGGATTTGTTTTGTTTAATTAATTGCTGATGACTTTGCAGGCTTATTCTACAGTTGGCACACCTGATTATATTGCTCCAGAAGTCCTGCTGAAGAAAGGTTATGGCATGGAATGTGATTGGTGAGTAATTACGCATGCTCATTGATGGGCATTTGCAATATTGGATACCTCATGATATAAATTAATTTGATATCTTCTGCAGTTGAAAAAACTCCTCTATGTTTAAAGATGCCTTAAATCTTTTTTGGACTGATATTATCATTGTGACTCATGGTTATTATTGATCAAATAGGTGGTCACTTGGTGCTATTATGTATGAAATGCTTGTGGGATATCCACCTTTCTATTCAGATGATCCAATGTCAACATGTAGGAAGGTAAACTAAGAGTCTTGTTTTCTTATGGTTAATCTCATACTAGATAGATTTTTAAATATCTTACTTAAAATATTTATGTTCTTAAAAATTTTCTATTTAGCTACACACCATACTCTTTGTCTGGATCTTTAATATCATACAGTTAAACATTAATGTTCTCAAAAGTTTTATAGTGCTGCAAACCTCTCTACTGTATGCCCCTACTACCCAAAAAAAAGAAAAGTGACAAAGAAGAGTGTCAGGAAAGTTTCATTAGCAGAGTAACATTTATCCCCTGCTCTTTTTTATGCAGATAGTAAACTGGAGAACCCATTTGAAGTTTCCTGAGGAAGCAAAATTATCGCCAGAGGCAAAAGATCTTATTAGCAAACTCTTGTGTAATGTCAACCAGAGACTGGGATCAAAAGGCTCAGATGAAATAAAGGTGTCGTATGGTGTGTCTTATTCTGGATTCTTATATTTATCTGATAAGGTAGTTGCCAAAAAGGGATGACCTTGTGGATTTCCAATTTTTCAGGCTCATCCATGGTTTGATGGTGTCAATTGGGATAAGCTATACCAAATAGAAGCTGCATTTATTCCTGCAGTCAATGATGAGTTGGATACTCAAAATTTTGAAAAGTTTGAAGAGGTATTATTGTCAAAATTCATGTTGATTTGTTGAGCCACTTATGTTTGGGGATTTCATGTTGCTAACAATTCTTTTGGCTGGTGCTTCTCTTTTATGTGCAGTCCGACAACCAGACCAAAACTTCATCAAAGAGTGGTCCATGGAGGAGGGTAAGCTAAGTGTATAATTGTACCTTTCAGTTTTTCTTAATTTCTTTATAGTATCAGTATCTTTAGTGCCTTTTGCGTCCTCTGTTTTGCAGATGCTCTCATCCAAGGACATAAATTTTGTGGGCTATACCTACAAGAACTTCGAAATTGTCAATGATTATCAAGCGGCTGGGATGGGTATTTACCTTTATTGTATATATGTAGGCAAATGATTTTATGATGTTATAGACTTGGTTCAGGTTTCATATTCACGTATCTGCATATATTTTCTGTTTATTTGAGTAATATATCAGAGGATGTAGAAGCTTTGTATTGTGCATTTTGAGGCCTCTTTTAAGAAGAGGGAGAAAAAAATTGATTTTGGAATAGAAACTTTACCTGCACATATCATATGCATATGTCTGAAGAATTCTTTCTTCTGATCAGGAACTCCTTTTCCTGCTTTTAATAGTTTGTTTAGTTTGACAATTATGTTTTTTTGGAACTGATTTTGATTCCACTAACTTGTAGCTGAATTGAAGAAAAACACCAAACCAAGGAGGCCCTCCATCAAGTCACTTTTTGGTAGTCTCACCTCTTCCACTATATATTCTGAAAGCGTATTGTGGGTTTTTTGGTGATATATTATTCTATATATTTTACATGCATATACAATCATCTGTGAATGAAATATTTTATTTCTCTACCCTTGTGATTCCTTGTGGCAGAGATTGAGGTGGAGGAGACATCAGAATCGTCAGAAACAGCCGGTAAGGAGCAACAATCGGCTACTCAAGGGAGCTTTATGAATTTAATGCCGAACCCAATGAGTAGAACTGACTCAAAATCAGAGTGAATCACATGATTTAAGCCAAACCAATCTCTCAATATTTCAGATAGAGAAGGCCCTCCTGCTCACAACACATGGTAGATTATAAAATTTCAGTTAATTTAGGTGGTCTTTTTGATGTTACCGTTTTCATTCAATTTGGAACTCTGAGGTCTGGTTGAATGCTCAAAGTCTTATGGCCTTGAAGAAAAGCACTGGATTTTGATGTTACTAACCAGAGCGTTGATGTGGATAACAGTTGTATAAGCTTCTTCTTCTTCTTCCTTTTTTTTTTTTTTTTTTTTTTTTGGGTCAAAGGATGGAAACAGGAGAGAAACCTAATGCGCTGATTCATTCTCCATTCTTATGTAATTTACTTAATTTTTTTTCTTTTTAGTGTGGGGGCCGAATTGTTGTACAAAAGATACTTATTTTAAAAATCTCATACCGTGTATACATATATGTGCTGATTTTATAAATGATAGTTAAACAATTTGTGTAGAAGAAAAGTTCCTATCTTTAATAATTTGCCCGACAACATTTTTTTTTTTTTTTCTTTTCTTAATGCAGTTATTCATCAGAAAGCTATGCATATAAACAGAGCAAAAGAAAAAAAATCATTTGAATTGAAGGCAATGCCTTTCGGGGTATGTTGTCTCTTTGAAGAAAGATTTGTTAAGAAATATATTTGAAGTCAGAAATGATTGTGAATTTATTTGACGGGTACCTGGTTTTGAGTTATCAAAGGCATCAGTGCACATCCTTGAGGGACACCAATTCCAAGAATATCTTTTTGCTGCTGCTACTCCCAAAAGGAGGTGGAGATATACGTATCTTTCTTTAGAATCTTGAGGATCACTAGAACGATTTACGTATAATTCCAAGAGTAGGATAAAGTGATGACTTATTGACTTCCCTTTAGTCATCGGAATGGGTCCACCAACTACTCAGTAAATCTGCCATCTGTCACAATACTATGCCTCTCCACTGTCACCATCATTCTACTTGCAGAATCTTTTAACAGCTTTGCCTTTATAATCCGCTCATTAAAATATAAAGATTAAACGGAAAAGGAAAATTAAAATCATTCATATCAGAAGCCATATATTCTCTGCCTGAGCGTTTTAAATTAGATTGTAACTGCAACCGTTTCATTTTCATAATTATATAATATTCATTCATGCCAGTTACCCTTAGCAGGCCATATCCGAGATTGGATGACCAGACGTTGACCCAGGGTCAAAGTTTGAAGATTTGACCATGCAATTTGGCAGATTCCAACTTCACTGTTGCTTGGTTTGGCCGCCGTTTGATAGCCAACTTGCATTTATCATACTTCATCCATACGTACGTAGTGACAATGAGGGTCTTTTCAAATGCCTTTGATATTTTTTTTTTTATTATTATTAATCAAAAATATTGATAGAGCTAGTATTATTGGGTAGATTGTCCAAAAATTAAACTTGAATCCTCAATTTTTAATTATTTGTGATTGATAATTTGACTGCTGATAAAGATGTGAAGATATAAAAAAATAAACAATTATACGGGGTGTTAAAATACAAAAACCTAACGGAACCAATAAACCGGTTAACCGAAAAAATAGTTCGGTTATGGTTTGAAAAATTAAAAAAACCAGATTTCTGGTTCGAGAAAAAATAAAAGCGATTAACCGAAACCGATTTTTTGAGTCGATTTTACAAATATATACTAAATAAAAATAAATATTGTATATTAAATAAAAAATAATAATATTTTTAATATATTGTTAGAAGTGGTCAATGTATACGTAAGAATATTTAATTTTTATTTGGATATATATTGTTTATATTTACAATTTAATTTAGGAAAAAAAAAAAAGGAAAACCGGTTCAAAAAAATTGGTTTTTTTTTAAAAACGGTTAATTGAAAAACCATTTTTCCCTTCAAATCGGTTCAATTTCGGTTCGAAAATTTTTCCAAACCAAAAAACCGATTCGGTTAAAAAGAGCGGTTAACCGCTTTTGAACACCCCTAGTCCAGGGTCTTCTTTCACAACTTTCAACCCGCTAACTTGTCATTGGTTACCTCAGAAATAGACAAACAGGACTCATATATGTAGACGGAACCCATTTTACGAACTGACCAATGACGAACTATCACGTCAAAGATTGTGAGAAAAAGTTATGAGATTGGATTGTGGACCTAGTATTACTAAAAAATAAATAACATGTAAATGAAGAATTTTATATGATGTTCTAACTTAAAACAAAGTTGGTGCAACTACATCATGCCATACTGAGACAACTAACAACAGAAAAAATTTCCATTAGCTATATGAAATTTTATATATTATTTTTATTCAGAGGGATCAGCTGCCAGCTCCAACATTTATCTTGACTTATTCTACGAATTAATTAAGATTAAGCAATATCAATCATTTCATCTAACCATGCAACCCTAGATGATCCTTATAATATCTTTACCATCATTACCATCATTATTGATCCTGAATATTGCGGTATCATAATCAAGATGAATGACCCACTTACATATACACGATATATAATTGTTTTCCAAGGCTTTACTTTAATGACAAAACTAGTAATTTAGCTTCCTACATGGTTACCAACTTTCATTATTTAATGCAAAAAGGGCCCCTCCTAATTTATATAATTTAGATGGTGGGGTAGTTGTTCTTTCCCCATCTTGCTAAATCTACTCAAACAATATGATGTTAATTAAATCTCTTTCTTTGATACAAGACTCTGGGACCTCAATCTCTTTCATTACTTTTTATATCCCAGAAATCTGAGTTAATTATCAGAAAATCACTACCATACTGACGTGTGCTTGGCTTTTAGTAACTTATCTTCTTCTATATGTCTGGCTATGCCGGCCGTGCTCTTGCATTAAACAATTCCATATATTTCTGTTACTTCTCAGCTGAGACCATTTCTTTGGTCATTTCTTTAGTCATCTTTTGCTGTAATCTTGCACTTTAAAAGCCACCTCCGCCTCTTCTTAACTCCCCTCTCACCACCATATTCTTCCTTTCTCTCTTTCTCTCGTTTCTCAAACTCTCCCTAAACACTTTCCTTTAGTTCATATAGATACGATAACTTTGTATACAGTTTTGCTTCAATGATGAAAGGAGGGTTTGAAGTGGTTCATGGAGCTCTTGATATGATGCAACCCCATGAACCATGGGAATATTCCTCTATCGGGTTTCCAACTCCTACCTCTAACGTCTCCTTCCCAAAACCAATGATCGAAAATCGTTGTGTAAACTTGGAGAGAAATGAACTCTCCGAGTGGGTGGAACATGTCACCAAGCAGCTCATTGATGACCTGCCGGATGCTGGCACTGAGAGCTTGCAAGCTCATGACCCTTCAATGATGTGTGAGGATTATCACAATCCTGTCTCGTCATTTTTGGGTGACTTAAGGCCAAGAAAAACCAGCAGAAGAAGTTATTTTGATGCCAATGGCGGCGAAGAGCTTCAATGGAGCAATGAGCTTGGAAACCAAACAAACATTTGTGAAAGTGGATCAAGTAGTAGAGGATTGAATAGGTTAGACGAACAAGGGTTAAGCCTAATAACCCTCCTTTTGGAGTGTGCGGTTGCTATTTCGGTTGATAATCTTGGTGAAGCTCATAGAATGTTACTTGAGCTCACCCAAATGGCTTCCCCATATGGTCCTTCTTGTGCTGAAAGGGTTGTGGCCTATTTTGCAAAGGCCATGGCCAGTAGGGTTATCAATTCATGGCTAGGGATTTGTTCTCCTTTAATTAACCACAAGAGTGTTCACTGTGCCTTTCAAGTCTTCAATAACGTCTCTCCTTTCATCAAATTTGCACACTTCACCTCCAACCAAGCCATTCTAGAGGCTTTCCATCGACGCGACAGGGTTCACATAATAGACCTTGACATCATGCAAGGTTTGCAATGGCCAGCCCTTTTTCACATCCTTGCCACACGTATCGAAGGCCCTCCACACGTTCGAATGACCGGTATGGGCACTTCAATGGAGATTCTAGTTGAGACAGGAAAACAACTTTCCAATTTCGCAAAGCGACTTGGAATGTCATTTGAATTCCACCCAATCGCCAAAAAATTCGGAGAAGTCGATGCTTCAATGTTGCAAGTCCGCCGAGGAGAGACACTAGCCGTGCATTGGCTACAACATTCGTTGTATGACGCCACGGGACCAGATTGGAAAACAATGAGACTCCTTGAAGAATTAGCACCAAGAGTTATCACATTGGTTGAGCAAGAAATCTCCCATGGTGGATCTTTCTTGGACCGTTTTGTAGGCTCTCTCCATTACTACTCGACCCTATTTGATTCACTAGAAGCATACTTGCCAAGCGATGATCCGAGTAGACATCGGGTTGAGCATTGCCTTCTCTACAGAGAAATAAACAACATATTGGCAATAGGAGGCCCGGCACGAAGCGGGGAAGATAAGTTCAGGCATTGGAGGAGTGAGCTGGCGAGGAATTGCTTTATGCAGGTTCCAATGAGCAGCAACTCAATGGCTCAGGCACAGCTTATACTAAACATGTTCCCTCCGGCTCATGGGTATAGCCTCGTCCAAGGAGAAGGCACACTGATGCTCGGATGGAAAGATACTAGCTTGTTTACTGCATCTGCTTGGACCTCTCATGCTTCAAGATAGCAGCTAGCTGATCGATATTAATGTTTTTGTTGGTGCCCAAAACCCTAGCAGTTAAGTTGTAAAGATTAGAGTTATGGAAAAGGGATATATAATAATTAATTATAATCAAGCAACAAGCTAAAGCTAGGTACTGCAGTTGTAACTTAATTATAAGGGTTAATTAATTATTGTAACCCACAATATTTATTTTCTTGAACGTATTATTTATTTTAATGTTGACTGTCAGCATCCATCGTTCCCTGCACGTAAAATTTTAAATCTTTAATTAAATTGACAAACAAATGTATGAATTTTTTTCGGTGTATAGCATAATTCAAAAACTCAAAACACATGTTATACATCTTATGCTGATGCCACATGCATGTGTATAATATAAATGAAGCTTGTGCTTCCATGCATGTGATGAAGCTTAGACAATTACAACCCATAATATAAATTAAGTATCTGATTATTCAATTGGCCAACACAGGTTTTAAGCTTATACTTAATATATATAGTTAATTTTATAATTATGTAATTATAATAGTATAATATAATTTTCTTAATTGGTATGATATACTGTATTTAATTAGAGTGACTAATTTGGAGTCCCCAGGGCAGCACTCTATTATTGAGCTTCGGATTCTCTTAAATCTAAGGAAAATTATACATATATAACATATATAACATATAAAGTGAATAAGCTTTTCTATGGACAAAGAAACAAGAAATATTTGTACCTTTTTTTTTATCAGAGGGGGCAGATATATCTCCAAATAAATCTAAGCAGGCCCAGTTTTGTTATCAATACTTATGAGAAAAGCCACGACATGTACAGTCTACAAATCTGGATGACCAGACGTTGACCCAGGGTCAAAGTTTGAAGATTTGACCATGCAATTTGGCGGATTCCAACTTCACTGTTGCTTGGTTTGGCCGCCGTTTGATAGCCAACTTGCATTTATCATACTTCATCCATACGTACGTAGTGACACTGAGGGTCTTTTCAAATGCCTTTGATGTGTTTCTTTATTATTATTAATCAAAAATATTGATAGAGCTAGTATTATTGGGTAGATTGTCCAAAAATTAAACTTGAATCCTCAATTTTTAATTATTTGTGATTGATAATTTGACTGCTGATAAAGATGTGAAGATATAAAAAATAAACAATAATACTAGGGTCCAGGGTAGGGATGTTAAAAAAAATACAAAAACCAAACCAATAACCGAACTGAAAAACTGATTAACCGAAAAAAGGGTTTGATTACGGTTTAAAAAATTCAAAATAACGGATTTTCGGTTTCAGAAAAAAAAAAAAAGGGTTAACTAAAACCGGTTTAACAAATATATATATTATATATTAAATAAAAATAATAATTATATATTAAATAAATAATAATAATATTATATATTATATAAAAAAATAATAATATTTTTAATATATCGTTAATAGTGGTATCAATGAATATATATGAATGTTTAATTTTTATTTGGATATGTATTGTTTATATTTACAGTTTAATTTAAGAAAAAAAAAAGTTTAAAAAAAAAAACCATCATAAAAAAAAAAAGGGATTTTCGGTTCAGAAAAAAAAAAAAACCTGTTTTCCCTCCAAATCGGTTCGGTTTCGGTTTGGAAATTTTTCCGAACCGAAAAACCAGTTCGGTTCAAAAAAGCGATTAACCGCTTTTGAACACCCCTAGTCCAAGGTCTTCTTTCACAACTTTCGACCTGCTAACTTGTCATTGATTACCTCACAAATAGACAAACGGGACTCATATACATAGACGAAATCTATTTTACGAACTATCACGTCAAGGATTGTGAGAAAAAGTTCTGAGATTGGATTGTGGACCTAGTATTACTCAAAAATAAATAACCTGTAAAGAAAGAATTTTATATGATGTTCTAACTTAAAACAAAGTTGGTGCAACTACATCATGCCATACTGAGACAACTAACAACAGAAAAATTTTCCATTAGCTATATGAAAGTTTATATATTATTTTTATTCAGAGGGCCTCTGTCATGTGATCAGCTGCCAGCTCCAACATTTATCTTGACTTATTCTACGAATTAATTAAGATTAAGCAATATCAGTCATTTCATCTAACCATGCAACCCTAGATGATCCTTATAATATCTCTACCATCATTATTGATCCTGAATATATATTGCGGCATCATAATCAAGATGAATGACCCACTTACGTATATACGATATATAATTGTTTTCGAAGGCTTTACTTTAATGAAAAAACTAGTAATTTAGCTTCCTACATGGTTACCAACTTTCATTATTTAATGCAAAAAGGGGCCCTCCTAATTTATATAATTTAGATGGTGGGGTAGTTGTTCTTTCCCCATCTTGCTAAATCTACTCAAACAATATGATGTTAATTAAATCTCTTTCTTTGATACAAGACTCTGGGACCTCAATCTCTTTCATTACTTTTTATATCCCAGAAATCTGAGTTAATTATCAGAAAATCACTACCATACTGACGTGTGCTTGGCTTTTAGTAACTTATCTTCTTCTATATGTCTGGCTATGCCGGCCGTGCTCTTGCATTAAACAATTCCATATATTTCTGTTACTTCTCAGCTGAGACCATTTCTTTGGTCATTTCTTTAGTCATCTTTTGCTGTAATCTTGCACTTTAAAAGCCACCTCCGCCTCTTCTTAACTCCCCTCTCACCACCATATTCTTCCTTTCTCTCTTTCTCTCGTTTCTCAAACTCTCCCTAAACACTTTCCTTTAGTTCATATAGATACGATAACTTTGTATACAGTTTTGCTTCAATGATGAAAGGAGGGTTTGAAGTGGTTCATGGAGCTCTTGATATGATGCAACCCCATGAACCATGGGAATATTCCTCTATCGGGTTTCCAACTCCTACCTCTAACGTCTCCTTCCCAAAACCAATGATCGAAAATCGTTGTGTAAACTTGGAGAGAAATGAACTCTCCGAGTGGGTGGAACATGTCACCAAGCAGCTCATTGATGACCTGCCGGATGCTGGCACTGAGAGCTTGCAAGCTCATGACCCTTCAATGATGTGTGAGGATTATCACAATCCTGTCTCGTCATTTTTGGGTGACTTAAGGCCAAGAAAAACCAGCAGAAGAAGTTATTTTGATGCCAATGGCGGCGAAGAGCTTCAATGGAGCAATGAGCTTGGAAACCAAACAAACATTTGTGAAAGTGGATCAAGTAGTAGAGGATTGAATAGGTTAGACGAACAAGGGTTAAGCCTAATAACCCTCCTTTTGGAGTGTGCGGTTGCTATTTCGGTTGATAATCTTGGTGAAGCTCATAGAATGTTACTTGAGCTCACCCAAATGGCTTCCCCATATGGTCCTTCTTGTGCTGAAAGGGTTGTGGCCTATTTTGCAAAGGCCATGGCCAGTAGGGTTATCAATTCATGGCTAGGGATTTGTTCTCCTTTAATTAACCACAAGAGTGTTCACTGTGCCTTTCAAGTCTTCAATAACGTCTCTCCTTTCATCAAATTTGCACACTTCACCTCCAACCAAGCCATTCTAGAGGCTTTCCATCGACGCGACAGGGTTCACATAATAGACCTTGACATCATGCAAGGTTTGCAATGGCCAGCCCTTTTTCACATCCTTGCCACACGTATCGAAGGCCCTCCACACGTTCGAATGACCGGTATGGGCACTTCAATGGAGATTCTAGTTGAGACAGGAAAACAACTTTCCAATTTCGCAAAGCGACTTGGAATGTCATTTGAATTCCACCCAATCGCCAAAAAATTCGGAGAAGTCGATGCTTCAATGTTGCAAGTCCGCCGAGGAGAGACACTAGCCGTGCATTGGCTACAACATTCGTTGTATGACGCCACGGGACCAGATTGGAAAACAATGAGACTCCTTGAAGAATTAGCACCAAGAGTTATCACATTGGTTGAGCAAGAAATCTCCCATGGTGGATCTTTCTTGGACCGTTTTGTAGGCTCTCTCCATTACTACTCGACCCTATTTGATTCACTAGAAGCATACTTGCCAAGCGATGATCCGAGTAGACATCGGGTTGAGCATTGCCTTCTCTACAGAGAAATAAACAACATATTGGCAATAGGAGGCCCGGCACGAAGCGGGGAAGATAAGTTCAGGCATTGGAGGAGTGAGCTGGCGAGGAATTGCTTTATGCAGGTTCCAATGAGCAGCAACTCAATGGCTCAGGCACAGCTTATACTAAACATGTTCCCTCCGGCTCATGGGTATAGCCTCGTCCAAGGAGAAGGCACACTGATGCTCGGATGGAAAGATACTAGCTTGTTTACTGCATCTGCTTGGACCTCTCATGCTTCAAGATAGCAGCTAGCTGATCGATATTAATGTTTTTGTTGGTGCCCAAAACCCTAGCAGTTAAGTTGTAAAGATTAGAGTTATGGAAAAGGGATATATAATAATTAATTATAATCAAGCAACAAGCTAAAGCTAGGTACTGCAGTTGTAACTTAATTATAAGGGTTAATTAATTATTGTAACCCACAATATTTATTTTCTTGAACGTATTATTTATTTTAATGTTGACTGTCAGCATCCATCGTTCCCTGCACGTAAAATTTTAAATCTTTAATTAAATTGACAAACAAATGTATGAATTTTTTTCGGTGTATAGCATAATTCAAAAACTCAAAACACATGTTATACATCTTATGCTGATGCCACATGCATGTGTATAATATAAATGAAGCTTGTGCTTCCATGCATGTGATGAAGCTTAGACAATTACAACCCATAATATAAATTAAGTATCTGATTATTCAATTGGCCGACACAGGTTTTAAGCTTATACATAATATATATAGTTAATTTTATAATTATGTAATTATAATAGTATAATATAATTTTCTTAATTGGTATGATATACCGTATTTAATTAGAGTGACTATAATTTGGAGTCCCCAGGGCAGCACTCTATTATTGAGCTTCGGATTCTCTTAAATCTAAGGAAAATTATACATATATAACATATATAACATATAAAGTGAATAAGCTTTTCTATGGACAAAGAAACAAGAAATATTTGTACCTTTTTTTTTATCAGAGGGGGCAGATATATCTCCAAGTAAATCTAAGCAGGCCCAGTTTTGTTATCAATACTTATGAGAAAAGTCACGACATGTACAGTCTACAAATCACCATCAATGGATGTACAAAATAATTGTGTCCAAATTAAATTTATTCAAACTTGAAAAACAAAAAACCCAATGAAATTATGTTTACATAATATGTGTAAAAACGTATATACATTAATGATTGATTAGTTATATATATTTTTAGGTTATTAATTGTCACATCCAACTTGATCATGAGGATTAATAGCTAAATTAACTAAAATATTTCAAACGCCAAACGCCTTAGTATATAACCTGAAGCATAAAATTAGGCATGATTTTACGTAAGGACATTGTGTGAAAAAAAGAAGAGAAATGAAATAGGCTATTTGTTTTAACTACTTTTAGTAGTTTGACAGTTTGTTTAGGATTCTTAGGTATATTATTAAAGAAATTCGAGTTCGAATCTCTACGACTACTAATAATTAATAAAGGAAAATTATTAAATATTTATCTGATTATTAATTTTATGATTTTTAAAGATTTATTGAAGTACACATAAATATCCTAGGGTGCGTTTGACTTATTGTTTTTATCTATATTCCCAATCATATTCTTTAAATGTTGTTTGGCACGTTATTCCCAAAATATTAGTCTATTTTTTTAATTACTTTTAGACCCCATAAGTTTATTAATCTCAAAAAATACCACCCAGAAAAAAGTTTAAAAACTAACAGAAACACCCCCACCCACAATTCTTGTCAGATTTCGGCAACCACCGCCGGTAATAGCCGGAATCTGTCACAACAGTCACACGACCATCGGAAATGGCCGATAATGGCCAGATTTGGCCATCAGCGACGGCCAAAAAATGGCTGGCGTTGACTGTCAACAACGGCCAAATCTTGGCCATCGTTGACAGACAATGACAGCCATATCTTTGGCCGTCGCTGACGACCAAAGTTGGCCTTTTTCGGCCGTCGAAGGCCACATCCGGCCTTAGATCTGGCCTTTTCCGGCCAGATCCGTGGTGGATATGGTAGGAAAAGGCCATATCGATCAAATACCCGCCAGATCCGACCAGATTTTGTGGTTATCTAATTTTCCGGCCAGATTCCGACGGTGGTGGCCGGAATCTGGCACTTTGGGTGTTAGGGGTGTTTTTGTCATTTTATAATATTTTAATATATTGGGGTATTTATTAAATTAGCAAACCTTGGAGGCTTTTTCATAAATTTTTAAATTTTATCTCGTAATACTCCCTTATTCAACTGTCTAATACAATCCCCAAAATCTTACCCAAAATAATAAATAGAATACTCTTGAATTAAAAAAAAAAAAATAAATAAATGGGCCCAAGTGGACCGGGTCAAAATGATGATAGAGAAGGCAGACAAGAGTTAAAATGAAAGTGAATTGGAATTGGAACATACAACACAAAACACAAAGTCTACAATGAGAGAGAGAGAGAGAGAGAGATGGACACACGTTTAGAAACAAAAGGCCTGACATGAGGTGAGCTGAGACGAGATCTGACAGACAGCCCAAACGTGTTAGGTTCAGCGGCACAATACACATCTTCCACGTCACCACTGACTCCCTTCGTTAAAAAATAAATTGTTTTTTTCTTTTTATTTTCTAAAAACACTCAAAACAATTTCATTATATTTTAATTAAATTAAACAAACCTTTTTGCCTTTTCCATCATCTCCTCCTCCTCATTCTCATCTCTCTCTCTTCAACACGTCTTCCTGTTTTTTCATAACACTTTCTTTGTTTCCTCTTTCTCTTTTCTCTTTTCTTTTTTTATCTTTTAATTATTAATTATAAAACAAAACTTGTTTTTGTTCTTTTTGTCTTCCTACATTTTAAATTTCGATTATCGTCTCGATTTTTGTTTTACTTGCATCTGCAATTGAGTTTCTGGTCAATGCGGCTCGATTTCTTCTAAAAATTAGGGTTTCCATTTTCGATTATCATTTCAAGATTTGGGGGCTATGGTTGCAAGTAATGTAGTTAATGAAACTGTTTTTTGTTTTTTAGTTTTCTGATAATAACTTTACCCTCATTTTGGGTATTCGATTGGGTTTTTTTTATTCTCATTTTTGGGTATTCTTTTCAATTTGATGTTAATAAATTGCTCATATTTCAATATTTGATTATCAATTTGGTATAAGATCGATTATAGTGGAGATCTTTTGACCTGTGAGCGTGATAATTTGGTAAATCTATTGATTATCGTCAAATTGACCCCAAATCTGGGTTAAAAAAAGCTAAAAATCTGCGTCGAGAACCGCTGGATTGAGCTATTGCTGTGAGGTTTATTGAAGAGAGATTGAAGATGGACCATGTGATTGGGGGCAAGTTTAAGCTTGGGAGGAAGATTGGGAGTGGCTCTTTTGGAGAACTCTATTTAGGTAATAGCTTGGTATAATTTCATTATTTTACGAGCAATGTAGGTTTTTCTTTTTTTTGTGTATTAAAGTTTTGTTTTTTGTGGTTGTTTGGTTGATTTGTAGGTGTCAATATTCAAACTGGAGAAGAAATTGCTGTTAAACTGGTATGTGATTTGTCCTTGGGTAGAATTAGAAGGAGGTCTCATTACTTCTAAATTGGGGTATAACTTTTGAATGTTGTAGTGGCGATCATTGTGGAAGTTTTGTTTGGGCCTGTTGATGATTATGTTTTATTTTTCCTCCTAAAATTGTGATGGTGAGCTTTAGGAGTTCCGATTACATTGTGTTTTTAGAAGTTGACATGTTCAGTTTTTGGCCATTGCCATCTGTTTTCGTGATCTGATTATGCTACTAGATATAAATAAAAAGCACTAGGAAGTCATTCTCTCTGAAAGTGTTTTTTTATTTTTTATTTTTTATTTTTTTTATGAATCCTTAATATCCAGCTGAGTGGTAAAAAGGAAACTAAAGATGAAATTGAACCCAAGGGATGGGTCTAATAGTACAGCCCTTGCTTACCAATCAAGAGGTTGGATGTTCAAATAGTTGTCCCATTCTAGAATTCAATGCATATGCTAGAGATTTCTTTATATTGAATAGATCAAGAAGAGTGGGGATATTACTTCAACATTCATTAAACTTTTTGGAACTTTGTTGTTCTTCATCTGAATATTATATGGCATCATTCACGATGAATGCAAAATTGATGATTTCTTAGATGTTGCATCTTATTTTTGTTAAATTTTTTTATGTTAATTCTCTATGCTTAACTGTTTTCCCTCCTAGACTTGCCTGGTGGTAGTTACCTGATACTCTTTTCTTGCAGATCCTTATTATTATTATTTTTTTTCCTCTTTTGGTGATTAAATTTTAGGAACCTGTGAAGACCAAGCATCCACAGCTTCATTATGAGTCAAAATTGTACATGCTTCTTCAAGGAGGAAGTATGTCTCTCTCTCTCTCTCTCTCTCTCTCTCTGTTTCTCTTCCCCTTCTCCTCCACCCATCCACCCACACACACTCATACTGCCAATGCATGCATGCAATCTCAAACAAATATATCACATTAGACGTGTTTATGCTGATTGGACAATTTGGAAAGTACAAACTCCTCCGCTAACACACATATATACCTTGTATGTTTCCACTCACATTTCACAGGAGTTATTATATGCTGGCTGTTTAGTTTGGGAAGTAAAACCTTTTCCTAGTTCGCCCTTTTTATGATAGCTAGAAAAAGAAAAAACCTGGGTGGAGAGGATTGAAAACCCTTCAGTGGCAGGTCTGATGGGAAACAGGATTAATTTATTTACAAATAAAACCTTTACCAAATTCACAGTAGATCCAAATAATCACCAGTGTAGAACTATAGCTTATTGTCATACTTAGGTTTTACATTTTCTATAAGATATCCTCCCTATGGAGCAATGTATTTTGAAGCTCATTATGTTTTTTCATAAATTTTGGGTTTTGTTTAATGAAGCGGGAATTCCCCACCTCAAGTGGTTTGGAGTTGAGGGGGACTACAATATCATGGTTATTGACCTGCTTGGCCCGAGTTTGGAAGATCTGTTCAACTATTGCAATAGGAAGTTCACTTTGAAAACAGTGTTGATGCTTGCTGATCAATTGGTAAGTACATGCTACTTTTCTTTAATCAGAGCCTGATTCTGGAGCAGTTAAACATGTTTCTTGTTTTTGTTATATTTCCAGATTAATAGAGTGGAATACATGCATTCAAGAGGTTTTCTTCACCGTGATATAAAGCCTGACAACTTCTTAATGGGCCTAGGCCGCAAAGCGAATCAGGTACTTTTCCTACGTGGTTCTCTTCACATCAGCAAACTAAACTACTTGTACATGCTCATCAGATTGCAAGTGATCTATTTGAGAATTCTCTGAGGATGCAAGTGCTCGCTTTCTGTTTACTTATCATCTGTGGATAAAAAATAATGGTCATGCTACAATTAGACTTTAAGAAACTTTCTTTTTACTTCTGCTTTTAATCAAATAATATCTCTTTATCATCCTAATGCAGGTTTATATCATTGACTATGGCCTTGCGAAAAAGTATAGGGATCTTCAGACTCACAAGCACATCCCATACAGGTAAATGTTTCTTTTCTGACTTTTTCAGTAAAATTTCACAATTGGTCTGGAATAATTATATTTTGTGCAGTGTGATATTTGTTTATCGAGAAAAATGGTTCTTGCTTATGCATTCCCTTTTCTGAGGAGCTAGTTAATAGGTGTTGCTTCAAGATTCTTCCAAATTAATGTAGGAAGCAGTGGAAAATTAATTATCAAAGTTGCATCAAAAAAAGAATAGCTTAATGATTAACACAACTTAATCACTGCTGAATGAACATATATATTATTTTTCTTTTGTTTGAAGTAAAATTCTAAGTTTTGTTAGTATCAGTAAAAGGTGAGGTGATGGCAATTCCACTGGAGGTAGTTAGGGAGGTTAAAGTTGGATACAATCAACTATGATTCAAACTTTTGATTTGATTTATTTCTTATTCATTGTAGATTGAGGACTCTTTTTGAGTTGTCTGGTCTAGATTCATTGGTTTCATTTCGCTTACTTATCAGCAATCTTGGTTTTCAGCTACACTGATTTTCTGTATGTGCATGTATACACATGTTTTTGCCAATCTTTGATGCATTTGTGATTAGCAGAATTCCTTCTTCCTTATTTATTTTACTTGCCACAGGGAAAATAAGAATCTCACTGGCACAGCTCGCTATGCAAGTGTCAACACTCACCTTGGTGTTGGTGAGTTATTTATGTGTAGTGATATATTTCCTTCTAATTACAGGAAATAAGAATTTTGACAGATTTAAATTTATTAGGACTCATTATTAATGTTATTGTGTCATATTTTGGTTGCAGAGCAAAGCCGAAGGGATGATTTGGAGTCCCTTGGTTATGTCCTTATGTATTTCCTTAGAGGAAGGTTCAGTATATAGTAGCCATACACTTAACTTATTCAATTTTGTGAACACTTCGAACTTGATGTTTGATACTTTTGCAAATTATTGCCAACTTTTGCATTTGTAATTTATTTGTTCAGTGTTGTTATTACAGTCTTCCTTGGCAAGGACTAAAAGCTGGCACTAAAAAGCAAAAATACGATAAGATCAGTGAAAAGAAGGTGTCAACTCCGATAGAGGTCTGTTGTACTAATTCACCCCTTAGAATAAGGGACTCCTTTGGAAATTATTTTTCACCTTGAACCCATTGAAGAAATTTGGTTAATCTGATTGCAAGTTTGACTCCCTGCCAAAGGAATGGCTGTTGCCTGATCCTGTATCTTTATAGATCTTGGTATGGCATGGGAGTTAACAAGACAAGGCCAAGTTGAACTTATCTTTTGTTAATGTCCATACTGGGCTTGGACCCATGAAATCCAACCTTGCAAAGCTGTTTTTAATTTTCCATTCATGATAAAATTTTGGGTTCTTTACTAAAATATGTTATAAGTTTGTTTTATGTGAACTATCTATATGTGGTCGTTTGGCCCAATTGATTACTGGGACAGCATTAGATTCCAAATTCTGACTATCAGCCTGGCTTATTGTTTATGGTTGTCTAACAGGTGCTTTGTAAATCATACCCATCTGAGTTTGTTTCATACTTTCACTACTGTCGGTCATTGCGGTTTGAGGACAAACCAGATTATTCATATTTGAAGAGGCTTTTCCGAGACTTATTTATTCGAGAAGGTGAATGACCAACAGTGGCTGTGTTCTTTGAATCCTTTCTACATGTTTTCATTTTCCATTTCTGAGTTTCAGCCTCATCTGCCTTTAATAGAAAATATTTATGTATAACCTTGCACACAACACTTCTTGCAGCGAATATAATGAAAAAGACCAGCTTAGTATAGTCTAAGTCTCTTATAGAAGCTATCTCAACAGTGAATATTATGAAAAATCTTAGTCTCTTTTTGAGTGTATATACTATACTAAGCTGGTCTTTTTCATTATATTCGCTGCAAGAGTCAATTCATTTTTTTCATTATGAATAAGCCAAAGGATAACAATGTTAAATTTGAAGAGGAAGGAGATTTAGTTTCGTGATCAAACATCAATTTATTGGGTATCCGTACGCAATCCATAAACCTTAATTCAATATAATAAGATATTTTTGGGGCAATATTTGTTTTTCTGTGGGCCTACTTTTTGGTTTTTTTTTTTTGCTTCTTTTATCTAGCAAGTAGTAATATACTCACCATAGACATAGATAAGGTAGTTTATGACTATTTTGTTGGCTCCTTTTTTATAATCTTTTCTCTTCCTATACAATTTCAGTTTCCTATATATATAAGGTAGTTTATGACTACTATGTTGGCTCCTTTTTTAAAATCTTTTCTCTTCCTACACAATTTCAGTTTCCTATATATATATTGGGTTTAAAGTTGTATCTTTGTCCCAAATTTTTTATACCGTTTTGGTGCAGGGTTTCAGTTTGACTATGTATTTGATTGGACTGTATTAAAGTACCCTCAGATTGGTTCCAGCTCTAGAGGAAGGGTACGTTCCTGCTAATTTGTTGGTGAGAATTTCTGTTCACTCAGGAATATTACTTACTTTGTGTGTCTATTTTTCAGCATATCAGTGGGAAGGCAGCTGTAGCTCCAGGACCGTCTGCAGAAAAACCAGAAAGGATATCAGGTTTGCACTTTTCAAAAAAGAAAAATTATTGATTTTATTTTTTAATAAGAAATGGAGTATTCTTCAAACAAAACTGTTTAAAGAATTTTGTGTAAACAACAACAGAATCTTAAATGGTAATATCGTGATACTATTGTCTCATCCAGTTGGGAAAGAGATCCGAGACAGATTCTCTGGTGCAGTTGAAGCATTTTCCAGAAAAAATACATCTGGTACTCCTCACCGTGAACATACAAGACACAAGACATCAGAGGACATACCTTCATCCAAGCATGTGGTAAACTTTTAATTTCCAACAGTAGTTTGCTAAATTCCTTGCTTTATAGTGTTCCTTTTGGACAATCTTTATTGCATATTTAAAAACCTAGTGTCAAGATGATTTAAGGGAAATTATCATGGACTCCTTTAGAGATCATTAATTATTATTGTCACCCACTGCTTTTAAATTATATCGAAAACCTCCTTATAAGAGAGGGATTTTTATAAAGAAAGAAAACTATTGAAAACCGTTTAGGCACGGGTGTTTACAATAATTCTGAAAACACTGGATGACAGCAGAAGTTGAGGATTTCTCAGAGAAGCCCAGTAATAATTGTTCATGATGTTATCGCTTCTGCAGTTAAATGAAATAGAACTTCTGATATTCTGTGTAGATTAGGCAGCACATGTTACTACCAAGTTTTGTTATATGCTAACTTCTTCTTATATTTTGACTTCTAATGAAATCTATTGAATAATTGCAATTATTGAAAGAAATAAGGAAGCAATGTTTCTATGTTCCCTACTTGTAAACTTAATTTTTTGACTGAATCCTGCTTGCAAATTAATTAGACCAAGGCTTTATATCTTATCTTCGGAAAATTTATGAGTAAATGTATAGCAGTATTCTGTTTTTTTTTTTTTTCCCCCCTTCACCACTACAGAGATTGGAACTGAACCACCAAGTTGTTCTTTCATTTGTAGTTTTCTTCTGCTTTGTTTTCTAGTCATAGGAGAGGCCATTAGCATTGTGTTTTGACATTCTGATAAAGGATCTGTTTTTTGTCGTCAGAATCCTGATACTGATAAAGTACGAAGTTCCTCTCGATATGGGAGCACTTCAAGAAAGGCTATCATCTCAAGCAGTAAGCCAAGTTCATCTGGTGAATTCAGTGAGTCCCGCTCTAGCCGATTAGTCTCAAGCAGTGGTCGATTGTCAACCACGCAAAGGACCCAACCTGGATATGAGTCCAGACAATCTTCTTTCTCCCGTACTGCAGGCGGTAGAAGCAACCGTGATGATCCACTTCGGAGTTTTGAGATGCTCTCAATCAGGAAATGATGAGTAAATGATTGTGAGAAGATATTGCATAAGCATGTATGAGTACTCTTCCAAGTGAAGAAATCAAATCTTACGGGTTATATTCTCACTTTTGTACATGGGATATTACCTAATCAATGCCATAACATTTTCATTCATACCACTTTTCCTACTTCCCCTTTCCTTCTTTCGTTCAATTTTTATTTTTTGGCACCCGGGAGCTTCAGGCAGGCCATTGTAACGTGTTCTAGACAAATCTATGAAAGAGGAATTTCTGTAATGGAATTTTATTTATAAATGAGACTTGAGTAGTTGTAATAAATACTGTTTTTTATATGTTACTTTTGAGACCAAGATTAGTAATTAATCCATGTACTTGTTAAGAAAGAACTTTATTCTTTCGGATTGCAAGCATGTGCTTCGTTTGTGTGCTTAGTAATTTGTTTACTCCAGTTGAGGCTACTACATCACAAAAAGCTGAGGCTTTTTTAATCTTTTCAAGGCAAGGAAACTGGAGCTTGTGGTGATATCCACTTTGCGTATGATTTAATGTAAGTCCAACTTTGAGTAGCATTCAGCTTGTTGGAACCCTTGCCTTGTGAAATTGGTGTTGATTGTATCCCCTCTTGTGGGTCTATTATATTTAATTGGCAAAATAGGTTTTGATGAACAGATACAACATATAATATATCCCCTTGAGTTGGAGACTGTTGTGGCAATGTTAAATTTGGAAAGACTTGTATTGATCTAATGGATAAAAACAAGGGCTCATTCTTTAAACTTGATGTTACGATACACCGGCATTAGAATAATAACTAAATAAGCAGACTGTAAAAACTTAAGCTACCCAAGGTGGTTGTGTTATTTCGTAAGATTTTTTTCTACACCATTCGGTCTTTAAGCGTAAGTGATAACAACATTACGATAAGGTTTTGACTACTTTTATAGTAAATATATCCCATGTATTAGTAGATGTGCAGTTAAATTTTTTCATCAGGGGAGATTCCCGAAAGATGTAGATAATATAAATAGAAATGAAGTACATCTTAACCTGAATTAATGGTCCTTATGGTTAGAAAACTTAATTTTTAATACTTAAGCATCATTAATGAATGAAATTCAAAATCAAATTATCGAATATAAATATCACAATTTTGATAATGAGCTAGACCATATGTCCGATGCTTTTCCTTGAGCAGATGCAATTTCAGCACGTTGTAATTTCATTTTAGTCAGCAGTACACAATTAGGGTTTAGGCTTTCGTTTCTTTCTACTTTACCCACTAGCATTTCTTTTCTTTCTCCTGATTGTGTATTTCCTTTCTCTCCCATTTTGTGTGTCATCCTTAACGACAGTTTTATCTTTGGCTACAGACATTTTTCTTTCATTAAAGTCGAGTCATAATTATTTTTTATCTAGCAATGCAACATATACAGTTCAATTCAATGAAATATTATCCAAGGAATAGAAAATCCACACCGAGTAACATCTCAGAATAACATTTACAAAGCGTAACCTTTGACTGCGTACAACCTTGCACGGATGAAACTTGTAGGTAGAAGCATAACATCGATAAAACGGGACTCGGTTTGAAGTCTCCAGCTCATGGATTTCTGAGAGCTGCCAATCGCTTCTCAAGTTCATCAATGCCCGAACTGCAAAGAGAATTAAAAAACTGAGTAACCAAATAGACAAATGAAATGATTTAACACTGTAACATGTTAAATTTTCTCCTTCCTCGTTATGTTGGGGTAAAACAAGGTTAAGGAATCATAGCACCGACTGCCAGTACATCCATATTTACAAGGCCAGAAATTATGATAAATTTCATTATCCGAAATGAATGATAAAAATTATAGCGAGTCAAGATTATTCGAGGACTGTTGCCATTGCCAACGTGGAAACTGGGCATCTGATGCAGAAATAAAAGGGGGCAAACTGAATTACCTGTTGGCATCCGCTGTACTTTTTCCGGCGATCTTGCCTTTTGGAGCTGCTGACAACTATCAATGTTCAAGTGTGTCAAATTAGCAGAAGTTAAAAAATATGTTAACTACTGACAATTAAATACCATAACACAAACCTGTGAAGCAACATCAACACCAATTTCATCTAGCACCTGGCAAAGAAACAAATACTGTTATTCTAAAAATCATCTTGCAATAATATCCACAAATATGTTATACCCCAATATTCATCCATCTACAGTTTTACAAACACTGAGGGAACACCTATCACTAAACAACACTCTTTCTAAAGTTGTTTGGATTAACAAATTCATAAATGTTTAGTCATCAAAAACTACTTCAATTGAAAATTTTCATAGCTAACCTGATTCGTCAGCTCTTCAGTTTCCTCTTCAGCCTCATCATTGTCCAAGGAATCATCTATGGCTTCGGACATCATTTCAGTCTGCAAGAATAAATGTTAACTACTGAGTTCCAAGAATATGTAACTAAGAAGCAAATATGAACCTAGTTCCACTTTAAGAGCACTACAGTATTTAAAAATAAAAAGGACGGTCTTACAGTCATATCCATTTGTGCCGACTGCTTCTGAAATTCCCGCATAACCTTCGCTTGCTTTGTAGGGTCCATTTACTGCAAGTATAACAGACATCTCAACAGAAGAAATAGGAATAAGACAAATGAAGAAATCACAAATATTGCACAATTGTCTATATTACTTTAAATGGTAATGACTCTACAAAGCAGCTTCAAAGTCAGAACTTACCATCAGGGTCTAGTTCTAATCTTATAATAAATGAAATAATATTCATACTTCAATAATTTCAAAACTACATCATAAAATACATATTGGAATATTAAGACCTTATTCATAGCTGCCATTGCCTTATTAGCCCCTTTCAAGCCAACAGCAACTGAGGACTGTGAATGCATAGCCTGTGAACAGTACATAATCATTGGTAAGAGCACAATGCACAGATACATTATCACAAGTTGAACTAGAATAAAATATCATAAACAAGGAAAACAGATGGAGAGGTTTTGACATTGCACCTGCGTATGAGTGGCTATGCCTCTCATTTGAGCTCGACTACCCTGCAAGTTAGCAATTTGTTGCCTAAGCCTGATTAGTTGCCGTGCCAGAATTTTAGTTGCTCCCTGAGAAATGAATTAACAGAGATAGTTATGACAATTCAGAAAGGAGCAACAAATATAACTTGTTCATTCTCTGATAATGGTTATATAGTCACCTATTATATCTGTTCAGGTTAAAGTACAAAATATACCTCATTTCCGGTTTTAGCAGTTCTCTTAATCTCAGCAACAAGCTTCTTCTCCTGACATGATGAAAAAAAATATATTAGACCCACGGCACCATGTTAAGATGAGGACAATCCATCTGTATAAACCCTTGACTTACTTCCAATTGCAGTGATCCAATTTCCTTCTCTATACCTGAAGAAAGGAATATTCGAGAACAACAAAATGAGTATCAGAATTGCTTCAAACTAAAAACATTATAATATAGGGAAGAAAAAAAATATTTCTACAGGTAAATAATTGTTAGGGCCTGGGAGCATTCAAAATAGAAGAATGCAACATTAGGATATTCTTCTATTCACAACCCAAAATAGAAGAAAATCATAATGTTGCATTCAAAAGGGAAAAATACAATTAACAAATAAATAAATGTCTAAATAAAAAGAAATTGGGTTTTTATTTAGACATTTATTTAGAAAATCATAACACTCTCTCCTCGGACGTTCCATGCTAACACTAAGCAACCGATAATAATAGCAACAATTACAATTGAACTAGTAATGATCAAAACTCAAATTCACTTCTGTTTCATTCCAACACCAGGAAACCACAAGTAATGAATTTGGAGCAAAAAAATACCTCTAGTTGCGTGTTGCATTTCTCTCTTGCTCTCTCGAAGAGCCTCTGTAATCAAAGAAAAATAATCATAATCAAAAGAACAAGAACTGTGATTCAAGCTTTTAATAAAAATAACACAGAATCAAAATGTGTGAATTTGCGTGCTCGAACCAAATCTCAGGCAATCACTAACAAATAAATCAGACGTGAAAAAGAATTAGTAAAATTGTAAATTGTCTGACACCTTTAGGGTTAGGTTTTTTGGAGAATATGTTCATTTTTTTTTCCTTGTTTTCTATGAAGATTTCTTAAGAGTGCTGTATTATTACTAGAGAAACAAGAAGAAAAGGTAATCGCCGAAGGAATGTGCAGAGAAAACACGAGGAAACTTTGCGGGTGGGTTTTTCTTGTTTTGTACGTAATTATCCAAGAGCCTGGGTTCTTTGACTCAATTAATTATTTACAAACTGTTCTTTTCATTTTCGTAAAATTATAGTTATGGGCATCCACTAAGAACTAAGAAGGGCTAAATTTCTACCCCAAATTATCGTCAAATTACTGTCTCCCCCCTCGATTTCGAAAACACACAAATTCATCCGGATTTTTCAAATTCAAGCGTTAACTTTAATTGAAGAGGTCATTCTGGTCATTTTATAAAACCTATCCACCATTACGGCACTAATAATATATTTAACATTAATATCTAAAATGTTAATTTCTAAGCTACGTGGACCTATAATAAAACAAAAAAATGCCGATATTCTAAGTATATTTATTCCATTACTTGTAGGTAACGAAATAATTAATATTAAGATAAATTAAATCGAGCATTACAAAGATAGATTTTCATATGTGCGTATGAGAATTTTAAATTTGAAGATTAAAGGAATAGCGCCCTAAAATTATATAATTATCTATCATAATTTTTTTTTTTTAAGTCTTATAATATAATATTATATTAACAAACAATACAGATTGACTCACAAATCATCTTATAAATTTTTTTTTACAACTCCGATATAATAACAAGTAATTAGAAAAACGTGACTTATAGCGAACAAATAAGACCTATTTGTGAGCTATCACGTCGAAAATATAAGAAAAAATTTATAAGATTGGATTATACGTATAGTATTGACAATTGACAAATTCAATCTTTAACCCTTCTAATCAATACTTTAATTTAAATAATAAAAATAGCCGATTGTAAATATTTTTAAAATATTGGGAATGTCTTTTCTCGAAGGTTTAATGTATTTGTCTAGACTCTAGATCTTAAATTTAGAAGATTGAAGATTCTAAAGCTTCATTTGGCCTTTTCGAAATGACAAAAAAGACCTTCGCTCACTCTACAATATAAAATAATAATAAAAAGGAGAGGAAGAGAGAGAACAAGATAAGCATGAGCCACATGTTCGTCCGTGTCTTTGAGTCAACCCAACTGAAAAAGACCGTATAAATATACGTATTTATGTACACAGTAGCCGTTCGATTCTTACTTCTTGTCCAGTCACTCACTGGGGGCTGGGGGCTCTTTCAGTTATACTGTATACCATTCTTTCTTCCCTTCCCACTCTTCATTTTTTTACCTCGCTTCCAAACTCTAATCTCTTAACTGAATATCAAACGCAGCTTCTTGTTATTTCTTTACCAATTCCTGAGCTTGTGTTTTTGGAAAGCGTTTTCCCCGTCAAGTGCATGTTGCCGTTTTAAGACTTGCATTTGAGCTCTGTAATCTTTGTTTCAGGTTCGACCGTGGATTGTATTGTTAACTCTGGTACGCGTACCTAGAGCTTTCAAGAAGTATCCAAGATTTGATTAGTTGAAGCCTAGGGTTACGAGAGCACGCATTCGCGGTAATTTCTTAACAACTGCTTAAAGCCCGAGGTTCTTGAACCGTGGTTTAAGTAAATTGAGTTAGAAACACGAGTGATTGAATGTGGTTGGTCATGATTTTAGTTTGTTAATTGTGTGGTGATTGATGGTTTTTAAGGAGTAGATAGTTGCATTTGTGAATTGAACGTTTAGGTTTCTGAGGTGAATACTCACACAATGGATGTTGATGAAGTGGAGGAAGTTACTTGTTTGGACCCCGAGCTTTTGCAGCTTCAAGAGCTGTCTCCTTTAGCGATCAAACTGAGACCACAACTTGCTGAGGAGTTGTTCGCTCAGTGGCTTTCGCTACCAGATACCGTCCGACTGGTAAATTTTTTTTTTTTGTTTTTTTTGTTTCACTTCATCAAATTAGTTTTTTTTCTGCAAGATCATTCGAGTTTGTTTAGTAAAGGTGAACTTTATTATCTTGTGTTAAATGTGCGTAGCTTTTGTTTTATAAAGATAATTTTTCTGATGTGATTGCAGGTGAAATCTTTGATTGTTGATGCCAAGGCAGGTGCCCCAATAAATGCCCTTGGGAACTCTTCTAGTGTGAATATTTCTGTGAGCAATTCATTGCCTTCAACGTTTCCTGCTGGTAGTGCACCTCCACTGTCACCCAGAAGTTCGTCTGGTTCTCCCCGATCTCCCCGTTCTCCTCGCATTTCAAAACAGAGAACTAGCCCTTCATCTCTTGGGTCTCCATTGAAATTTGCCCCTGAACCAGTGCAAGAAGTCATACCACAGGTTTTACTTGCTTCTGCTGACTTATATTGTCAGAAGAAATACTATTCTGATTTGACATGAACCAGAACAGGGACTTATTTAACAGCTTGATGAACCTTGAAAATATTTCTACAACTGTTATGACTAGCTCTGGCTCCTTGAAATTATTTCTATAACTGTTATGACCAGCTCTGTAGCCAGCCAGAGCCTTCCCAACGGATATTACCCTTGTCAAGTGATAGCTGCCTACACATTAGCTCTAATAACTTGGCCAGTAAGTCCTTGATTACAGTGACCTCGGCTGGGAGGATTTTTTCTGAACTCTGTGTTTACTAGCTGCTTCTGAGCAACTTGTAAGCTCCTAGTGTTTGAAACTTAACTGTCCAGTTCTTCATAGGGTGACCTCTTTTGAAAGGCTATAAATAGGATTGTAATGTTTAGCTTTGAAAGATAATGTATTGGAAGAATATTTTGTTAGCTTTAGTTCTTTAGTATGGTGAGTTGCCATATTCTTTGACATGTGATTCATCCAGTTCTTAGGAGTGGTTTCTATGGTTCTAATGAGTGATTCCTGGAATTCCAGCATGGGGCCAGGTTATAATCCTCTTTTCTTTACTGTCTTTCTGTTTGTGTTATTCTACAATTACTGCAATTTCCATCCTTCGGTTAACTTTATACCACATAATTACAGCCTTGCCTACCTCTTGCTGTTTATCAAGAGAAATTTAAGCTTTTGTGCCCTATATTTTGGTATTAAGCTTCATTGAAAAACTAATTTCTGGTGTGCGACATACTGGAGAATTTAATTTGCATATTGATATATGCTGCTTGCAGTTCTATTTCCAAAATGGCCGTCCACCATCAAAAGAACTAAAAGAAGAATGTCTTTCGAGAATTAATCACCTTTTCAATAATCCTCTTGGTGGATTGCAGATTGACGGTGAGAAGTTTATTTGACCTATAAATACCCTTTTTATATTTAAAATGAAAGAAAGATTTCCTTTGGAAGGAATTAATCACTTCTTTTTTATGCAGAGTTTAAACCAGTTACAAAGGAAATATGCCGGCTACCATCCTTTTTCTCTTCTGCACTTTTTAAAAAGATAGACATTGACTGCACTGGCATAGTGACCAGGTATAAACTTAGGCAACACAACCACCGCCCCACCTTCTCCCTGACCCCTGCTTAATTTTTGTAAAGCATAAGAAATTACCAGGGGCGTTAGATGTGAAGAATCATGGATTCCATTAGAATTTGGCCTTTCTTTTTTGGAACGAATATCTTCTCCTATTTTATTTTGCCAAATTAACCTTTATTTCCTTCTACACCTCATTAAGTCTTGCTGAGTGTACTTAATTCTTTGCATAAATACTATTGCATATTAGCTTAATTGTACCAATTTTCTGTAGGGATGCATTTATTAGGTACTGGGTTGATGGCAATATGCTGACAATGGATACAACAACTCAAATATATAAAATTTTAAAGCAGCCAGACTGTGAATACCTTACTCAGGTTTGTTTTACTGGCCCCTAATATTTTCATTGAGAATTTGTAGACATTAACTGTATATTCATAAGAGCCTTTGGTCCTTATTTTTCTTGTATTTTTACTTAATTCTTTTTCTTCATTTTATATTTAAACCTTTCCGGGACTTGGATAAAGGTTGACTTCAAACCTATCCTTCAAGAACTTTTGGCATCCCATCCAGGTCTGGAGTTCTTACATGGCACACCTGAATTTCAAGAAAGATATGGTGCGTGCTTAATCATTTGTCAAGTGATTTATTTGCTATCTAGTTGCAACAATAATCCATCTGTGTTTTATTACTCTTTTCACATTTTTCTTCCTCGTTCAAAAAAATTCAGTTCAGGAAAAAGAATATGCTTTAAATTCTTGTTTGATTCCTCTAGACCCTTTGAAGCTCACTCGGAAGTTCTTAATTTTTGCACTACGCATTCAATAGTACTTATTACTGATACTGCTCGCATAAATACTTGTGGTAATGGCCCAGCTGAAACTGTCATATACAGAATATTTTATCATATCAATAGATCAGGAAATGGCCATCTTACCCTCAGGGAGCTGAAACGTGGAAATTTAATTGCTGCCATGCAACATGTAGACGAGGAAGAGGACATTAACAAAGTTCTAAGGTTGGTCTTCTGATTAAGCTTTTATATGAATAAGTTCAATATAAACAGTGACCACAAAACTCCTAAGTTAGTCTTTTTCTGAAATGTATGGAGAAAGCTGCAACATGAATCTTTCATTTTGATTGCAAAGCCCAATCTTTTGCATATAATGTTATATAAGATTCAGTATCTATACTTGACTACATCTTAATAATTTGATTTGAACTACGTGACCTGGCATATAATAATATGATTATTATATGTGACAAGTTTCCATTATCATTTCAAAGTTACATTTTTGGCTTTGTTCTTATGTGGATGAAAGAGTTTGGAACATCTGGAACATCACTTGCATCTTTTGTTTATTATGTTAAGTGTTCATAAAGTATTATGATGTGACTATGTTTTTCCTCTCTAAACTAGGTACTTCTCATATGAGCACTTTTATGTTATATACTGCAAGTTTTGGGAACTAGATACAGACCGTGACTTCTTGATTGAAAAGGAGAACCTAATCAAGTATAGCAATCATGCCCTTACTTATAGGATCATTGATAGGATATTTTCACAGGTTAGTAATGTCCTATGATACCTTCCTTTTGAAAATCTAAATGATAGAACTTCTTTTTGCAGAAGAAGGAAACAATTTTTGTTTCTTTTTTTGCAAGTTTTTAGTTTGGTTTTGTTTATGAATTGATTCATCTCAGGTCCCAAGGAAGTTTTCTAGTGGGGTTGAAGGGAAAATGAATTATGAAGATTTTGTTTACTTCATGCTTTCAGAAGAAGACAAATCATCCGAACCCAGTATCGAGTATTGGTATGTTTGCTATTTGATCTTTCCTTATTTTATTTTTCGGTAAAAAAAAAAAAATTATGAAATTCTATGTGACTTCTTTGACAAAATGCAGCCTCTGCAGACTATATATAAGTATGTTTGTAACTATGTGTATGGATGAATTCTCATGATGACATATTTCATGTTATTATTTAGTGTCAATTTACATTTCCCTTCATGAATCTTCTGATATTGTATTTCTACGGAACATATCATCATATCCAGATTGTGAGCATGTCAAATTCTTGAAAGCTTCATGTTAATTTACTTTGATCTGTCTCAAGAGGAGTTTCAGTTTCACTAAGTTGTAATTCCTTGAAAATATAGCATAAGTAAAATAAGTACTATGAGAAACAATTATTTATTTGCAGCTAAATCTGTGTGTTCCTTGCTGGGGTTTGGTATATGCATCTTTGTATCAAGAAATATTGAGCTATTTGCATTGCTTATGTTTGGCATTGTAATAATAATACTCATTCAATCTAATAGGCTATAGGTTTTGAAGTATATAGCAGCTGTCAAATGGTATATAGTGACAGGATGCTAATTACTGAAGAATATTGGTAAACTTGAAAACTGGGAAAGCTTTCCTTCATATCTTAAAATGTTAGACATGTCTTATAATGAGTATTATCATAATTTTTGTTAGATAAAGGTTGAATTCATTTTATATTCAACCTCTGTGAGCTTCATTTTATATAGTGTAGTACTTGAGCTTTTCTTTGTGTCAAGGTGTGGTGTGTAAGACTTCTTCACTCACGTGGTTTTCTGAGTGGCAGTTCCTTTTTGTTACATTAGCTGCAATCATTAATTAGGTTCTTTTTACAGGTTCAAGTGTATAGATTTGGATGAAAATGGAGTGATTACATATAATGAAATGCAATTCTTCTATGAGGAGCAGCTGCATCGTATGGAATGCATTTCCCAAGAGCCCGTGTTATTTGGGGATATCTTATGTCAAATAGTTGATATGATTGCTCCACAGGTCAGGGTTTTTTTTTTGTCTGATAGTCCAGGATCTTCTCCTATTTACTCGTTCATCATGAATTTATTATTAGTTACATGATTTTGCTTGCAGAGGGAAGATTGTATAACACTTCGTGACTTGAAAGGATGCAAATTGTCTGGAAATATTTTCAATATGCTTTTCAATCTTAACAAGTTCGTTGCCTTTGAATCTCGGGATCCATTTCTCATTCGCCAGGTACATTAAGGGTCCGTTTGGTTTGTTATTTTGGATAGAATTTTGGAAATAGTATTGTGTAGTTGAGTAGGGTGATTATTATGAGGTAAAATTTAAAATAAACAAAAAAGCCCCCCAGGTTTGCTAATTTAACTAAATACCCCAATATATAAATTTTTTATAACATGATAAAAACACCCCCACCCACAGTGCCAGATTCCGGCCACCACCGCCGGAATCTGGTCGAAATCTGGCGTTATGACGCAGACCGGTCGGATCTGGCCGGTCATGCGTCAATCTGGCCTTTTCCAGCCAGATCCACCACGAATCTGGCCGGAAAAGGCCAGATCGGTGAATTACCGGCCATTTCTAGTCGTTTGTACGTCATTGTGACAAATTCCATCAGATCTGGCCGGAAAAGGCCAGATCGGTGAATTACCGGCCATTTCTAGTCGTTTGTACGTCATTGTGACAGATTCTGGCTACCACCGATGGTGGTTGTCGGATTTTGACAACTATGGGTGGGTGAGGGTGTTTTTGTTAATTTTTAAACTATTTTCTGAGAGTGTTTAATTAAATTAATAAACTTAAGGGGTCTAAAAGTAATTGAATAAAATATAATAGTATTTCCTAAATAATGAAACATACACTTATTTTGAGAATATGATTAGGAATAGGGTAGGAAATAACAAACCAATCGGACCCTAAACTTTTTGCCAGTTTTTTAGCCATTGCACAAATGTCAATGGTGCTAGTTTAGGCATCTATGAAATAGCCTCATTCACATTTTTGGTGTTAAGCAGGAACGTGAGGATCCATCTTTGACAGAGTGGGATCGCTTTGCACACAGAGAGTATATCAGGCTTTCTATGGAAGAAGATGTTGACAATGTCTCAAATGGAAGTGCTGAACCTTGGGAGGGATCACTTGAAGCTCCTTTTTAAGATCATTGAGGTGAATTTCTTTGAAAAAAAAGTATTTTCCAAAATTGTGCTCTATTTACTGTTTTTATTTAGAAAGAGTACTGCACTTACTAACTACCCATTGAATCTCTTCTGCATAAAATGACTGTGCACTGCAGTGTGATTGTCATCTCATTTATTTTATTTTATTTTCAATTAATACAATTCCATTATTATTAAAATTATGCCATAAATTTCGAGTTTCATTATATCCCAACTTTTGCCTAACAAGTGAATATGATTTCAACATCACTTCAGATGCAAAAGTTGAGATAAAAACTTGGTGCTTTTGAAACATTTTGTTTGATAAATTGGTCCTTTTTCTAGAACAAGGAAGCAAGTATTTTATGGTCTGTGTGTCATGATATATGGATCATATGTGGAAATATGGGATATTGATTGCTGATCTACGCAAAATCACATGTATGAGATATGATGTTATGCATTGAATTCTTGACTCTTTTCTTTTTCTTCCCTTATAAAGATTAAAAAAATGTTTAGCTTTCTGCATATGTCAGAAAGTGTTTGTGGAAAATTCTATTTCTTTATTCATTGTTCTATAGTTTATAATTCTGAAAGCTAGTATCTGGAAAGCACTTTATTTTGTGTGTCACTGCAGGTGCCTACAAAGAAGATGCCATTTTTATTCCTTGATTTGAGCGTTGAATGACAGAAAACTGGTCATGTTGAAGATAATACTTTGAATGGAACTCATCAGGCGCTGCAAACTTGATCATTGAAAATTTGAAGCTTGATCATGTAACCTGATGCACATATTTAACTCAGTAGGTTATACAATTGGCTTTTGCGGTGAAATTAGAATGCTCTAGAGTTCTACAGGGAACTTCTCTATACAAAGAATGTTAGTTGCTCCTTAACAGAGGGAGTGCTAATGGCTTTCCGGTGTCTATTCATCATGGATATCATCGGCCCTGTTTGGGTATTTGTGTTACAAGCAGATCAGCTCCATAGACAAAACGTATTCTTTTGATGCCTTGGTGGGTGGCATGCATGCGTTTCTTTGTAAAGCTTTTGCAGTTCATTCATTGGATGATCATGTCATGCCATCTCCTCCCTCTCCCTCTCCCTCTCGTTTCTGTACAGTGTATATGCTCTTTGATTGGATTACGATAAAAATTGGATAGACGCTCACACTAGTCTCTCACCAGGAAAGTTGGTAAATATTAAACTGTTTTTCTTTTCTTTCCTTTACTGGCACTTTGAGCATTCAAGCACTGAGTTTTTCTGCATTTATATGTTGATTACTGTAAGATTTCAACGCTATTTACATTGAACATGTCAAATCAAATCAAATATGTTGGGTATTTATAGTTATATATCTTAATTTTTTTCTTAGTATTTGAGAGAAATTAAACTTATCAAGTTATACATAATGTAAAATGGTACTATTAATTACCACTCGATGGTCTGATGGTAAAAGAGCAAAAAAGCAAAAAGATGTTGTATAAGTTTATAAGTTTGAGTTCTCTTATGTATTAATAGAGGTGATTATTGAAGTTTTTATTTGGCCGAAAGTTTTAGGATTTTGAAGAATTAGTTATAGTGTGTGTAAACTGGTTAGATATCTCGTCTCTAGTGAAATTAAAAAAAAAAAGTAAAATGGTAGTATTAAACAACAATAAAATCTCGTTTATACTGGAAGAATACAAATATTATGGTGAAGTCCGGCCCTTCGGTTCATTATGTCACGTGTAGGCGTGTAGCTATGGATCGGACGGCCCACAGAAAAGAATCTCTGTGTATCATCACGATCAATAATATTACACATACATCATTCTCATATAACATTTCTCATACAACATTATGTGGCAAGATGTGATTGGATGAAAGTTTAATTTTAACTTTAAATTAGTCAATCATATCTTGTCACATAATATTGTATGAGAAATATTGTATGAAAATGATATATGTGTAGTATTACTCCATCACGATATGGACATCGGTTTTTTTATTCAGTCCCCCGCCCAAAGCCCACTCGGGCCCGAAAAAGAAAATAAATAAATGAGAAAATCTTTTCTCAATACTGTCCTGTAAAACCCTAGGAAGAGTAAGGGAGGGTTTTAGCAATCGGTTGCTTTCGCTGTTACTCTTGCAATGGAGATACAAATAAATTTAGGAAATTTACCTTTTGGTTTGGATTTCCATCCCTCGGACCAGCTGGTCGCTTCTGCTCTCATTACTGGCGACCTTCACCTGTATCGTTACAGCGTTGATGCGCCACCGCGGAAGTAAGCTACAATTTTCAGACACTAGTCTTTCTCTTTTTTGTTAATAACTTCAGTCACTAACTTATAATTGCTTGGCTCTTGTGTCGATATTAGGTTGTTGGATGTTCATGCACATGAGGAATCCTGCAGAGCGGTTCGATTCATTAACGGTGGACAAGGTAATTTAATTTTTTTTTTCATAATTGTGTTCTTTTTGTTTAGTTGTTTGTATTATTAAGTGTGGCATTCGGTATGTGCACGTGCAGCAATTGTGACAGGTTCAGCCGATCGCTCGATTTTGGCCTCTGATTTGGAGACGGGATCACCTATTGCCCGTCTTGAAGATTCCCATGAGTAGTTCACTTACTACTTATTCTGTCTTTGGAAGTTCTTTTTTAAACTAATTTTAATAATTGATGAATAAAATGATGTGGGATTAATGTTTTAATACGTTATAAATTTTCAGGGATGCTATTTATAGTTTGATAAACCTTACAGAGTCAACCATTGCGTCTGGTGATGATCAAGGCTGCATTAAGGTTGTACATTTCCCAAGAAACATAATCTACTACTCTACTAGATAGTTTAAATCGTGTATCAATTATGGTTTGGCATTCCTTGATACACATTTCATAATATATCCTTGATTTATTATATATCCCTGTGAAGTTAAATTGAGTCAAAATTTATCTGGACATTCTATTGTCGCATACCCTTCTTTATGGTCTTTTACATCTCTTCCTTGATGGCATTGGATGGCGGTGGCTAGACTCTTTGAACAATTTGATTGAAGCTAATCACTCATCTTTTTTTTTTTTTATCTTTTTGTTGTTGCAGGTATGGGATACCAGACAACGTACCCTTTGTAATTCCTTTAATGCTCATGAGGACTATGTTTCAGACATGACTTTTGCATCTGATGCCATGAAACTGCTGGGAGCAAGGTATACTGCACTAACCATTTTTCACCTCTTTGAGACTGTTAAGACCATGAGTTTCAACAAGGATGTGGCACTAATTATTTTGATGACCTCTGAGTCATTATTATTACAATACTGAGGGGAGTTCTTTTATTTTAAAATAGGTCCATTAGTTTAAAATAACTTTAACTATATTGTTTCAGTTTCTTTGAAGATGTCTTTCATGATAAGCTAAATTTCAACTTTTTAGAATTTAACAAAAACAAAACTTGAATTAGAGTGCTAGGAAGTGATTTTAGCTTATTACCCAATCTATTTTGTTTTTGGTATCATTAGTTACATTGTTTACGTCTGGTTCCTTTTGCAATAGACTTATTTGTACACAAGTAATATCTTCAACTTCTGCATTCCATTAATTTGCTCTTCCATTTTGTTTCTTTTTCCTTCATTATTTTTTGACAAAGAATTTTTATGTATTCTATCATCACATTTTTAAGTGGAGATGGTACTCTATCTGTTTGCAACCTGCGAAAAAATACGGTAAGCTCCTTTTCTTAATGATAAGCACTTTTATAGTGCTTGATTTATGAGATGCATATTTTTGGACTATTGATTCATAGTTTGGTTTCAGAATATATTAACTTATTAATGCATTCTATGTTAATGAAAGGTCCAAAGTCGGTCTGAATTCTCCGAAGAAGAGCTAACATCAATTGTTATGATGAAGGTGTGATTTCATTTTAAACTTGAAGTGCTGTAATTTTTTGAGTCATAAATACAGCATTTTCTTATTCCTCTGGACATGTCTTCAAAGTAACCTGGAAATGTAAATTAACTTCACAAGATTCCATATTTGTACTTCCTATCATTAATTTTCTGTAAATTTCTTTAATTGAAGATCTGCAAGTTCATATACAAATTTTTTTTTGCTGATTTACCCATTTACTGTTTTTTTGATATGCTATGTAACGACATGGTCAGAATGGTCGTAAAGTAGTATGCGGATCACAGAATGGAACTTTGTTGTTGTATTCTTGGGGATTTTTCAAGGATTGCAGGTTTTTAATTACATTCTTTCTTGTTCTGTCTATATCGCTCTATCTTGCACTCATAGACACACTTATGCTCTTGTGTATGTTGGGTGAAATATGTGTTTTGGATTTGCAGTGATCGCTTTACTGGTTTATCTCCAAATTCTGTTGACGTGTTATTAAAGGTGAGTTTGTTTAATATTGTAACATTTTTCAGTGTTTAGACTACTCTGAAGTTTACTATATTGAAATATTATGAAACTTTTTCTTAGCTTGATGAAGAAAGGGTTATTACTGGATCTGAGAATGGCCTCATCAGGTAAACAGATGTGCTTCATGGGATAAAATTTCTATCTGAAATGTTGGATCATAACTCTCTTATTGTTAACCTAAGTATTTTTTGCCTGGTTTCTCTTTTCTTTCTGTAGCTTGGTTGGCATTTTACCCAACAAAATCATTCAGCCAATTGCGGAGCATTCAGAATATCCAATTGAGGGACTTGGTAATAAAAGCCCCACTATTCTCTTTAGAGATTTATATGCAGAACCAATTAATTGAATTTAGGATGTTGTTTGGTGCATCTGGTTATTAATAAAAATCATATTTTTCATAGTGACAAAATTATTATATGGTGATACTGTAGTAATAATCACATTATTAACAATGACATATCTGTACTGATGACCAGACTATTAAAATGAGCATATACTAGAAGTAACCTTGTTCTAAATAATGACTATATCATGAAATTATAATTATGATGTTGTTGAAATATTGATTATTGTCACTTACCATTTAGAATATCACGTCACATCTCAGATCAAAATTTTTTTTCCTTTAATCTTTTATTCTTTTGCTTTTTTAGCACTTTTATTCATTAAGTTGGACATCTTAAAGCTGGATTAACAGCATTAAAGAATGCTTGTCTAATGAATGTTTTGGTTTGTTGTTGTAGCCTTTTCTTATGATAGAAAGTTTCTTGGAAGCATATCACATGACTCAATGTTGAAGGTATTTCATCTCTCTCTCGTTCTCTCTGTGCATGCGAGTGTGTGGGTGTATGTATATGTCTTCTTTCTTGAAGGTATATCTATGCACTTATGTAATACGCAAATTGTCAAAAGGGCACTTCATATGGTCAATATCAATATGGGTGCATAATGCAAGATCGATACGAAGGTAACAGGGCAATAGTAAATAAGTTGGCACTGTGATTGAAATTGTATAATCAGTAAATTTGTTGAGAAAGTTGGACTACCTTTTTTGGAGTTTGGACAGGTTACATGATCCCAAAATGCCAAATTTATGGTCATGTATTGTGGAAATATTTTTTGATTATCTTAAGTGAAGATTGATTGCTAACATCAAGTTGTTTGATTTTACTTTGTTTCTTTTTTGTAAGTCATATTCTAGAGTTTCAGTTTTCTTATTTGTCATCTTATTTGTATTTTTTATATATGTTGTAGCACCCTTCATTAATTTCTGTAACTCAAATTGGTGATGTTTCCTTAACGCAGTTGTGGGATTTGGAGGACATAATACAAGGTTCTGGAAATAATACAAGTCAAGCTGTGCTGGGAGATAGCGACAGCGACAGTGATGTTGGTGACATGGAAGTGGATAACAAAGGTATCTTGAGTTTCTTTCAAAAATATTTATTTATTAATCTTTCATCTGATGCTTATATGGATGCTGATTATAGGTCTAAAATCAATAGCACTGGACAAGAACATAATAAGTAGAATCTTACATGTGCTGTTGACATCATCAAATATTAGATTGATCATGAATTTTTTCAACCATTTTGTAGACTGTTGTAATCCTCTTCACTTTAGAGAGAAAAATAATATATGGCACTAGTTGCAAGTCTTTGATCATAATAATTATTTTGTTTATTAAAAATTTTGATTTAATTGCTCTATACCATGCAACAAAATGACTTCACCGTGGATCTTCTTTCCCAACTCTTTAAGCTTTCGCCTACTCAAGACAAGTTGGTTTTTTTTTTTGGCCAGTCTCTGCTGCTAA